CCGAGCTGTGCGTTTGGCCACAGATTTTCAATCCCTTCCCAACTCTCTGTTGTTTTGAGCTTCAAGCAGCTCGCAATTTTTTTGGCTTCAAAAGAATTGTTCAAAGAGAAAAAATAAAAGACAAAAAAAATTGTTAAAAAAAATATCAAGATTGCATAGTTGCTTAGCAACAGGAATGTGGGAAAATCTGCTCCTGGGAAAAAAAATATTGTGGGCCATTTGTTTTGATTTGGCTATCTCGACTTTTGGTGAGACTTTTCTGCCACAACACAATCACGTGCTGGCACACAGACGGTCACTCGCACACAACAAAACAAACGGGCCAGCAATGTGTTCAGAATCAACGGTGGTAAGTTTCATTTTGGATTTTGACTTCCTCTTGCAGAAAGCTGAAATGTTTACCGTCCCTCTTGAACTGGCATTACATCACCTGTCACTCCGACTTAGCCCACTTGTCAGTCAAACAAAATGCCTCTCGCTCTTTAACAACTGCCTTTCTGCCTGTGTCAGGCATTAATCAGTTCTTCAGCTCTGCTTCCTTTGTCAGTCAACTCTTAGGTCGAGAACGGAGCCGGTGATGGCGTTAATACGTCTGCTGTTTGCAGGGCTCCAGCAAAAACCCCTGATCCACAGAGCAGCGTGTGGTTTGTCCGCACGGGGGCCGTCTGTTCCAAACTGACCCCTCAGTGGACCGCAGTGTCAGTCCAGGCTGCTTTAAATGCTGTGGGTGCACATCGTCCACAGGGATCACGCTGTCACCGGAGGAAAGCACAAAGCAGAATCAGCGATTATGCTCTTGTTTGTTGTTCTGTTTTCTTCAGGGAGAGCTCTCCTCATTGTCTTCTCATAAGACGGATGGAAAAATCACGACACACCAGCAAGGAGTGAGCGGATAGCTAGCTGGAAAGTTATTACACTCAGCTGTCAAGAGACCAATCAGTAGTCCCAGTGTGAGGAACTGAGAGCCCTAATGAAAGCTATTAGGACAAATTAGCCACGTTAGTAACCGCTAAATACCATTTGGAGTCAATATAGGGGTTCATTATTACTTCACAGCTGCTCTTGAATGATACCTTAAAGGCAAAGTTCTGTCATTCGAAGGCAGGGCTTATAGCCACCCACACCATCCGGTATTATCCTTCACAAATATTTTCCAAACCATGTAGTTCTTCATTTAAGATTGTCCTGGCGCATACAACACATTCAAAACTGAAACTCAACAAAACATCAGTTCCTAATAAATGAGTCTGTCTGTTTTTACAGATGGATGGTGTGAATTAAAGCTAACGTTTCACACTGGAGATGTAATTTGATGCAGCCACACCCTAGTGACTAATGTGGAGTCGCACTTTAAAACAAACATCTTCATTAAGCTTCGACCGTGGTGACTTATAAGTGATGGAATGCCGTATACAATTAAGGCCCCGGCTTGACCCTAACGGAGAGCAACCATGAGCTGCATATGCCACCAGGTGGACATTAAATGCAACAGCATCTTTATTCTTTGTCCACAAATACAGCTAAGACAGCCTCCTCTTAAGTTTATCATACTTAGCTTTAATGAGCTGGGAATATTAGGGGAGTAGAACATTCTTCAGTAACATCCATCAGCAAACGTTACAAAAAGGAAAGTTTTGTGAACATTTTCTGTGGCGTTTCTACAAGAGATTTTGATCAGGCAGGTATTTGTCAAAGAGTCACGTAGGTAGATCATTTCTTCCCCAGATGAATAGAGAAATCTACAGAGAGCTGGCTGATCTGTGTTACAGGAACTCCTACACAGCAGCCGAATGTTAGCATCACCTCTGGTGACTCACAACTGGCAGAGAGAAGGCAGCACCAGCCCTTCTGCTGATCCATCGAACTGAATATACTCACCGCCTAAATTTAGACCGGCTGTGCTTCACAGCATTTTCCTGATAGCAATTTCAGCTGCCTTTAAGCTTTAAAATGCTGTTATACGTGCCTCTCTTTTATCTGAATGTTTTTCGTGACTAGGGAAGGTTTATAAATGGAAAACAAAGGGGAGCTTTCTTCTTTCTTTTTTTAAATGCTGCTCCATCAATCAGCTTGAATCATGAATTGGATCCAGTTTATTTTTACAGTTTCATCCGTTCTGAGTGGGAAAGCTTTGGTTGAAGCTGCAAATCTTTTGATTATTCATGCTACACTTTTTTTTTTTAAACTTCCCACAAGATATGTCTGCATTAGTCCTCTGAGATTTTGCTGCTGCAGCAGTGACAGGCTGAGTACGCTTTGAACTTGAGAGGAGCTAAGAGCTGGAGAGAACTTTCCTTATCATCACAAAGATAGACGGGGAGAGAGGGTAGGAGGACATCATATTTCAGGCCAGCAGAGGGATCGACAAGTCTCACTTGACAATCACTTCTCTGAAGAGGAGGGATCAAAATGAGAGAGGGGGTAACACCCATGACCACAACCACCGCACATGCCTAAAGCTGTAGAGCGCCACACCTACATCGCTTCCTTTGTATATATGCACGTCTTGGTTTGAGAACAGAGAGACCGAGCTGCACTGAATAGTGCAGGGAGATGGCGAAATACACACACAAAGAATGCAAATTCAAATGACACACAGACTGCGCAGCTTGATGCCTTCAAAGGGAGTCACGAAACAGAGCCGCACCCAACAAATCCCAAGGTAGCAGGTGCGGGAGACCGAGCAACATCACTCAAACCGGAAGTAAAAAGCTGCACGATAATCCTCTCCTGAATTTCAGACAGTGTCTTAACATATGACAGCGATATATGACAGTTCACCCAACATGCATATTGCAAGGCATGGATAATATATTTGCAACATAGGTCTTCCTTCAGTTTGACCATAAACTGTTTGTGAAGTGTAATTTATGAGGTTTGAGTCTTGACATTCAAAAGCTCCCTCCCACCCTCTCCTCTCAAACTTTAATGACGCTAGGCAGTCATGGTGCAGGAACAGAAGAGAAGATATGGTTCGCACTTGCTAATTCAGACCCAAAAGATGTTGATTAATAAAGGAGGTGTGAGGGACAAAAGAATGGGATCTGAACGTCCCTTCAGAGAATCTAATTTCTCGTGCCTAACACTCTGTCTTGTAATGACACGATAATCAACCGATTCTTCAGCTGCTGTGCTAATAGAAAATGAATTGCACGGCATGAGACCAAGATATGACAGTTATTATCCTTTTGTGGGGCCTGAGAAAAAAACTGATAAAAATGACAATGCTATATGAGCTGTTACTACCCAAACCTTGCATTTAAAAAGTTATATTTTCCAAAATCTAAGAGATTTTTTTTAAATGCACAAATGAGAAAATCAGTCTTCTGGAAAACACAGTTCTCCCCGAATTCCACTGAAGGTTTCTCTCATTTGTGAGAAACAGTTGTTGATCTGTACTCCTCACTCCTTTCCCCAGCATATCAGATGAAATCCTGCAATGAGGCCACTGCTGGAGGTTCTATTTTCAGATGCATTAAGCTCTCTGAAAGTCTAAATTGTTGAATAATTGAGATGAAGCCTCAATCAGAGGCTTTGCTGAGCCATCAGCAGGCTCATCAGAGGCTGACATCAGCTTATAGATGATGTCAGGATTTTTTTTTCCAATTAAAACAATCATCTACATGGCAGTATTTTTGAAAAACTGTGCCTCTCCTTGGAGGCTTAAGCCTCCAAATGATGTCAAAATGACTTGGATGAAATAAAATCCCTTAAGAGAAAAAGTTTTTTTCTGACTTATTTCTTTTTTGAGCTGTAAACTCCCTTCTGTTGTCGTCGCTGCAGTGTGATGCTCAATAATTCATCTTGCTGATCTTTTTTTAACTCCTTTGGCTGACAGTGAATAACGGAGAGGCCACCTGTTTTAAGCCAGCTTCTGATACAAACACATCACGGTTCGTGCTGCGATGCTGATACAACAAACCCAGAAGTAGACTCAGTTGTCCCGGTGTGTCAAAACGGATCCCCCCCAGCCCCCAGCCCCCAGGTTCTGGGTCTGGGTCTGGCCGCAGTCCATGGCTTGGACTACAGTCGTGTATTTGGAAGTGGCATTGCATAATGCGCACACGGAAATACACACAAACACACACACACAAAAGAGACGCCGCGCACTTGTGTTAAGTGTCTCAAAGTGTCCGCGGAATGTGATGCAAGCAGCCAAAGACAAACCGTGATTGTCCCCCTCCATCCCGGTGGTCCTGATGCTGCCGAAAAGCGCCCGCCGGTCAGGGATGTCTCCCACCGAGAGCCCGATGCAGTCCGGATACCTTCTCTTCCTCCCTCCTATCCTCCCCTCCCTCGCCTGTTCGTCTCCTCCCTGCCGCTCGGAGATGCAACCTAACTTGTGTGTGCTACTTTTCAGCTTGTTGCAGTCAGGATTTCTCTCGCGTGCCGTTTGGGGAAGATGTGGGCGTGTTGCTCGGTGTTGGCTGGTGGAGGGTCCAGGAAAGCCGGTGCCCATGCTGACCCCTCCCGCCAGTGGTGTGATGTCACGGTCTCACTCACCTTTCACTTTGCCCATTTAACCTGTAAACACGCCCACACACTTCAGAAAAACACATTCTGTATGCGTTTAAAATGTTTAAAAATCTTATTCAAAAATAAGTTTTTAATCATAACCTTGAACATACTTTCTCCCCACAATTTTGAGACAAACCTGACACATAACCGTCTGGGTTGAATGGCTTATATTCACCATGTCTGTCCCTTCAAAGTCCTGGTAAAAATGGTAGTGGATTGCAAATGTCAGCACTACATCTGATCATTATCAACGTGAACTGGATAAATAATGCCCGCAAAGTCAGTCAGAATGACTTTGTGTGTGTGTGGGGGGGGGGGGGGTTGTGTCTCTCAAGCAGACTTCAGAGAGCTTTAGAATAAATTCAGCACACAGAAACTCTTCTGACAGCATGAGTGACTTGTGAGTCATCCCCTCTGCACGACTTGCTCACGTATAAATATTCAAAAGTGTCTTTAGTAAAGCACAGTGACGCAGAAAGATGCACAGTCAACTCACAAAAGTCACAACTTTATTGCACCTTATAGTTAACTATGACATGGCGAGAGCAGCTTTCACTATGAAAGCTCTCTCTACTGGTCAGAAAAGGTGGTGCAAAATACAGAATCGTCAATGCAAACATGTGAACTGTCCATTTTGCTCTGGTGGGAGGTTCCTCTGTGCCACTTTGAATCGCACCCCGTCGGTTAACCGTTGACAAAGCTGGTACTGAAATGACATGTCATTTCCTGTCTTGTACTGTTCAAACAACAATGACACAGAAGAGGGCCTCGCAGAAAAACAGACAACTCTCTTATAGACAAACAAACACATTTGCAGATAAATTCTCAAGTTAACATCCAACTTATCTGAGTATTAGTAGCTTCTTTAAATTATTGATTTATAACATTAAATCCTATATCTTTTTTTTTTATAGCCAATTCAAGGCAACATCTCTAGAATGAAAAATGCATGGGCAAATCTTTACAGCAGGAGGGAAAACACGGGTAGCACAAGATGGACTGTACAGTCTTCTGCAGTGGCAAAGCAAAGAGTTCTAACGCAAACTTTTCTGTGCCCAAAGTGGTGGATAATGTTCCCATGGTTCCCACACCTGAAATACTTTGTATAAAACCATTTGTACAGGATGCAACTTGGTGGTCCAGGCAGAGGGGGGGGTACAATGATATGAAACAACAGGGGGTTGATCTGAACAGAGGTATCTATGAGATACGGGTGGTCTGGGTTCCTGAGTGTAAGCCCAGTTTCTTGGTGACCAGGGTGATGGTCAGAAAAATTGCATAGAGATAAAAGATAGACGAGGACAGCGGATGATGGAGTGGCAGTCCTGTTCTGACACAGTGCCTTCAGTAGAAAATGTGACCCCTTTGGTTTCAGCACAGGGGTGAAGAGTTTGTTGCAGAGAATTGAAGAGTTCCAATCTCCTGACCGGATGCTTCCAAGTGAAGCAGCTGAGATGCTCCCTTTGATTTCTGCAACATGACAAACTAAACTAAAAAGCACCTTCACTATGAGCAGCCTGAAAACAACACACAGATTTCAAAGCTTATCCAACTTGGCAGAGCGTTTTTTTTGTGGTCAAAATGTTCTCATATGCCTGAAATAAATTGATTTAGGGAAGAGTAACAAGAAAAGGTCCAGATTGTGGAAGGATTTTACACATGAATAATTAGAGAAGGGGCGGATATCCAAAGCTCTACTAAAATGTGAGCAAAATTTGGTCCTAAAAACAGGGGGGAAAAGAAGAAAAAAAGCCACGGGGCACAATCAAAGCAGTAAATAAAAAGGGGCATTAAAAATCTTAAAAATATATAATTTTCAAATAATTTCAGTGTAAAATCTGTGTCATCTGTAGAGAACATCAAAAGAAGTGTTAAAGAAAACCTCCTGACCACTTTTTGCATGCAGAAGCAGCACTGTTTGTTAAAAGTCAAACGCGAGAAAGCCAAAGAGTTACAGCTTCATCCTCACAATCATGGTGCATCTTATTTGATTTCATAGCAGTTTTGGGAGCAGCGACTAAGGCTCAGAGACGTGGACGTGTGATGCGCCTGGGCCACCCGCCGGGTTCTGAGATCTAATCCAGCCCGCCAATCAACACCTTTCATGTTTTACCTGATTCAGTGTGCTGCTTAGAGCACATATTTTAGTCTTACATTTTGGGAAACCCACGTGAAACCGATGTAACGGTGGGAAATGCTGAACATCAGTGTTCGTGATTGTAATCGGGACTCTCAGCGACGGACTCCGAAGACCCTCTTTCCTGCGGGGGTGACCGACCACTTGTTCCGCCTGTCCTGGATCTTCTGGAAGATGCTGCTGCCGCTTTTCCACTTTTCTCTTTTATAATTCTTCACTTTTTTTACCTGGAATTTCAAAAGAGAGCAGAAGCCATGAAGGAGGAGTAGATAGGAGTGAAACATGACGGGTATGAGTGCGTTTCCATGACATTCTCACCTTTCCCTGGTCAAAATCTTCATCCCACTCATCGATCACGGTGTCCCTCCTGGCATTGCAGACATCTTCAATAGCATCTCTACTAATAGCAGAGACCTCACCATCCCAACTGAGGACTGCGCGACAAACACTCAAAATGTTAATGCGTTTCAAAACTTATTCCCCACAGACCAGCTTGAAGTGTGTCGTCAGAGTGGCGTGTCAGCGCGCGTCTCACCGTTGGCTCCATAAGCTTTATCTGTGGAGTTCTCCAGCAGCTTCTGGACCACGTCGCTGCTCTTTTTTCCGTCCCAGGCTGCGGGGGCGGCGCGGCTCGGGGCATCGCCTCCCGGAGTGGCTGCCGGCGCCTGGCTGCGTTTGGAGCCGTCCTTCAGCTGGCTGTCCCACACAACCACTGGAACTGTCAGAAAATGGAAACAAATAGGGGCTGAACTCGGTTGAAGTCCCAACAATCCTAGCTCTGCAGAACAGTGAGGGGAAGCCGGTATAATGCAAAGGAGCATTCTCATCCTTTCTATGTTCATTAGCAAGTGCACTTTGTGTGCTTCACCTGAGTTTTTCCTATGATACATTTATGGTTCTACTTCCAAGACAACAGTAACAAATAAATAAATATGAGTATTATTATGAGAGAGTGTTGGTACTTTCATTAAATCCACTCTTCTCTCACTCTGTGCTCACATACCTGTGCTTTGTTTTCCTGTTTTGGTGCTCTCTGCTGTGGGCTTTGTGGAGGGCTCGGCATCAGAATGCTGACTCTCCTCCTGCCGTTGCATCTCTTCCTTTAGCCTCTTTTTCTTCATCTTTAATTTCTTTTTAGTCCTTACCGATTCTGCTGTATCACTGCAAGCGTTTGCAGTCTTCGTTTCAGGATGGCTGAAAAGTGGAAAGGGGCAGAGGTTTGAAAAGCAGATAACTCGGGCCTGCGCGTCTCTAATTTGACATGTATTGATGAGAGTCACTCTCAGAAAAGGAAGCCAAAGAGGAGAACGTAACGAAAATGTCACCTTTTTGCCGTCAACACAGAGGTTGTTCCCTGCATAGCTTCATCCAGTTCAATCTTTTTCTTCTTCTTTTTCTTCACAGAGTCGCTCCTGTCCTGTTTCTGGTTTGGGCTGGCGCCGGATATCTGAGGTTGCTGCTTTGCTGGCTCTGCATCTGAAGGAGTCGTCAGGCTCCATGAGCCGCCCTGACACCAATCCTCCTCCTGACTGCATGTGTCCAAATGAGACGGGACACAATCCCTTTTGCTTCTTTCCTCTCCATCCTCACTCTCCCTCTTTCGCTTTTTCTTCTTCTTCTTCTTCTTGGGCCTCCTGTCGTCTGCTGACTCAGCAGGGCTGGACCGTGAGACCGGACCCGAGGACGCGTCTGGCTCCGTGTCACCTTCCACCTCAGAATGCCGCCGCTTCTTCTTCCTCTTCTTCTTCTGGCTGACGTTCTGAGCTAAAGAATTGGGATCTGTCTCTTGGGACACAGAGTTGAGACTGTTGGAAGACTTGGGACTCTTTGGGGCTGGACTTTGAAGCCCGTTGGTTTTATGAGAGAGGCTGGCATTTGGTTTTTGCAGTGTGGAGAGAAGGAGCGGTTTTTGTGGGCCCTGTTGCACTAAAGGTCCATGTGAGAGGGCAGAAAGTGATGACTGGGCTTTAGGTGAATGAAGTGGGCTGGCTCTGGGAAGACGAAAAAAACAAAAAAAACATGACTGACCCAATATTTCAACATCTAATTTTTTCTAAAAAATAGACATCTCCATTTTTAATTGTAGACCGTCTGTTAAACCCAGTTCCAATCTCATACCTGTGAAGGTGACTGGGCGAAGCGACAATGTAGGAGTTATGTAGATTGGGATGCATGGGGTCACTGGACAGCTGGTGTGGCAAATGGGGCAGAGCATCAGTGCTGCTCCGAATCCGGCTGTGAGCCTGCAGTTATCGACATAAATAAAAACTTGGTGGTCTAAAGAAAATAGCCATGAATGTGACAAAAAAAAATAAAAAATAAAAAATCAAGTGAGGAAAGGGATGGCAGGAAAATATGGAAGAAGGGAAATAAAGAGGAAAGGGTATGGCAGAGAAGAATTAGAAATGGTTAGAAAAAAAGAGAAACTGAAGAAAAGGAAGACAAGTGCTGACATGGTTGATTAGACAGGTAACACTGGAAAAGTAACATCACACAGAACAGAAAACATTTTTAGAAACGCGTTCAACTGGCCTCATACGGCCACTCACAAAATCAGTGATAACGTTTTTTTTTTTTAAGTAGCGAGGGACACAACCAGAGGCCAGAGTACTGTGGGCCGCTGCAGCGGGAGGATGGACGTGGCGTTTACCTTCTTGGCGGACAGGGCCAGTTTCTTGGCAGGCGGTGGCGACATGGTGCTGGTGGTTTCGGACGTGATGTTGTTGAGAGCTGGGGGTTTTATTTTTGCCATCTTGGGCTCCTCTGTGCTGTGGGAGCGTTCAACGCTCCGTGCTGGAGATGCCAGGACGCCGGAGCCCTTCCGAGGAGTGGAAGGAGTCTCTCCGACTGGAGCACTTTTGGGGCCGATGGAGTCCTGGCCAAATATCAAGATGTCGATTGGTTATGGTCTTTAAATGGCTGACCAGCATCTTCTTACATGATATGACAAAAACATGTGGCAATGACTGGCCGGGGACATAGCTGTAAGAGTACTCACTGCTAATAAAAGTAGCAATTCTGAATGTGATTTTGACACCAACAATAGGGTAAGGTTAATAAAAAGTAAAGGAATATTAGGATTAGTATTCTTTACTGGTTGCTGTACCTTGGACTCTGTGGTGTCAGCAGAGGAAGAGTCAGACAAGGACTTAAATGAGGTAGACGCTGCCATGCCTCTGCCCTCGCCGCCTTGTTTCTTGTCCCCATCCGTCTTGCTGACCCCATTGTTGGAGGGCGTCGGCGTGATGCTGCGGGACTGCGCCTGGCTCTGGGGAGAGGGCTTTTTCACCTTCTTGGAAGGTTCCTCGATAAGCGTGGGTGCGCCGGGCAGCTTGGGCGGCCCGTTGGAGGATGAGGTCCAGCTGGAGAGTCGGGGCTGCGGCTGCGTGCTCGCCCCATTCCTGCAGACGGGCAGACCCAGCCCGCCGTCCATGGACTGGATCTTACGCAGCTGTGCAGGCTCCAGTTTCTGCCAGGGAGTATTGGACAAAGATGCGGTTTTTCAGTTGGACCACAACATCGAAAGGTGCTGACCTACACCAACAAATGAAGAGCACAAATATCACCTCTTCTTTTACCTTAGTGACCTGCGGAGAGGAGAGGGGTCCGTTCAGATTGGTCCTCTTTATCTGTTCTGATGACGCACTATTCTTCCCAGAATGCAACATCCCCTGTTTGGTGCTCTGTCCATCGGCATTCTTTCTTGTTTCAGGGATCCTGAATTATACAATTAAACAAAAAAGTATTTATTGACTTAACCAGAGATGCAGATTTCTTTTTTTAGTGTCTCATACATTCAAAAGTATCTCACCTCAGATAGAAAAGGACATAAGCCTGCTGGTTTAAAACCACTTTGATGTTACTTGAATGCACCATTGAATCGTTCATTTGGTACCATTGTCCATTACTCGCCTGCAATGGAAAGAGACAAAGATTTTTTTTAAATGTCTTAAACAAAACATAAGGATTTTGTTACTCTAACACAGCTCTGGTCACCGTACCTTGACGTAGCAGTAGTAGTGGCCGGCATGACAACTGTAGCCAGAATGCACCAGGACAGCATAGAGGCCGTACATTACGGGATCGCCTGAGCTCTGAGACATGTAGGGACGGATGTTCAGGAATTCTGGGTAGCCAACATCCTGAAACACAGGGAACGAAAGAAAGTTGACACATACGGAGGAGAGAACACGCTCTTTTCAAACAGTCCATGGAGTGAAAAATCTACGGCTAACCTTTGTTATTTTTCCTCCGCTGAAGTTGGCAAACCTCTTCAGTGAGAGGGTCAGGACATTAGATGTTCGGTGGACAGTGAAGCGCTTGGTGGCCGGCACCTTCTTTTTGCACCTGAGGAAAAAGATCCCCAATCATCTCTAACCTGATAATTTCTCTACAAAGCCCAGCATTAATCACACCTGGGACATCCATAAAACTCACTTGGCACACATGTAGGCATTCTCTCCACTTAAAACATCTGGTTTGACAAACAGCTCCAGGGCTCGCACTATGTTTGCTGCTTGCTGCATAAAAAGAGACCAAAAACACTTGGAAACGTGTACAAAGAATGTGATGCAATTAAACAAAAGTCATATTGAGATGATGAACGTACCCGAATTTCAACAGCTATGTCCAGGTAAGGGTCATATGTGTCCGACACACTTTTACAAATGGAGCATTTCACTGAAGGACAAAATAACAAACCGGGCTTCTGTGAGTGCTTCATGAATAAATGCTGTAAAGGGAACGTCTCATATAGCGCTTTCAGGGGAACATCCTTTAACATTTCAAAATTATTCAATTCAAACACGACATGTTTTCACCCATTAAAGCACAGAATTTAAAAAGGGGCCAGCAGCTTGCCATGCTGCTCCACAATCCAAAGACAAAAAACAACACAGAAACCGTCAGAGTAAGGACTGCATTGTCCAAAGTGCAACAAATTAGAAAACCATAAACACTAACCAGCAATTTTAAAAAAGCAGGTCGGCAAATTAGGTGGCCTGGGCCAGGAAAAGATCCAGATAAAAAGCACAGCTACCGAATAGCAAAGTCACACCCACCCACACATTATTTAGTTTGTTATTTGTTGACATTTACTTTCTGCAGAACCAATCGTTCCAAAATGCAATACCAAAAGCCTAAAAACTAAAGTCCATACCTCTGGACCTGAGGTATCCTCCAAAGATTTGGTGAACCAGAGTTGTGGCCTGAGTCTGTCTATCGAGTCTAAAAAAAACAAAAAAGGAAACAGGTCAAAGACAACTAAATGGTACATAACAACGCACAGTCCAGCACAGTTAACAGAAAAACTTACTTGGGGTAACCGTTGAGACATGCTTTCTGCATGGCGTCAATTGTGTAGCGCAGAAACTCGTGGGCATCCTCTTGGCTCCCAAAACGAAAATGTCTGGCAATTTCTGTGGGAGGCCAGAGTTTGTGTGAGATGGTTTTCCAAATGGACGCTTCCCCTCAAAGGCATTGACAGGATTATACGCTTTGCATCAAAGCACGCAAACACACAGAATGCTGAATTATTCAAGGTGCTTACTCGTGTAGGGACGATAATAAAGCAAAAACGAGAGAATCTCTGTCTAACAGAGCGACTTTAACGGAGTGCTACTTAATGGTGACCTCCGATGTTAGTACAACGTCGATCTAAAGCTCACGGGTGGACGTCTAAAAAGCTTATGGGCAGAGACTTGGGTGGGCTGGCGTCTCATGGACAGGGAAAGTCTGGCGTTAGAGCTAATGCAGCTGTAAACACTTTGCTCGTGTGATTTCCTAATGGAAAAGGGGAGAGCGTAAGCTGGCAGAATTCTGATGTGGTCATCACCACATTCCCAGCACAGCATCCTTACTCACCGAGGATAATTGAGTCACATCGGAGAATGGAAAAGGGAACCAGACACTATGCACTTACGGCCATTTCCAGGCACTTATGGGAGGGAGACGTCTTTTTAGAGGGAGAAAGATGGGTGTGTTGTGTTCATGCTTCTGGTTTTCAGATGCTACAGCTGGGGTTGAGCCCTTTTCACTTCATATGGGACGAGTCCATATTTATTTTTTTTGGGGGGGGGGGGGGGCACCACTAATGAACACTGAATATTGATCGAACTGCTTTTACATTGTTTCGGTGGCATTTTTGGAGGACATATTTCTAAGGGGAAGCATACACAGGCAGAGAAAAAAGAGGCAGGTGGCGCGTACATTTTTCTGCTAAAGCTGCTCTTCTTAGCCCGCAGTCGCAAGGAGACAGAGAGGGCATTGGGGAAGGAGGGAGGGAGGCGATTAAGGAGGGGGGGGGCACAGCAAAACAGGCACAGGAGGTAGAGACGTGATCGCAGCAGCATGTAAGGAAGAAGGACACAGGTAGGGGGGGAGGGAGGAGACGAGGATGCACTGCATAAGAACTCAAAGCTCATCTCTACAGTCCTGCTGCTGGTTCACCACCTGCAGTCGCACAACTCCACCAATACACTGCAGGCCCTGGCTTTGTACGTCTGATCTGATCAGCTACTCCAGACACACGTCACACAGAGCGGAAGAGAGGCGGGCCTTACTTTTCAGGTCTCTGATGAAGGACACAGGCTTGATGGCGTTGCCCGTGTTGGCAAAGGCTTGGATGATGTGGTTCTGCATCACGCAGATCATGCAGAAGCCCGACTGGTGACCTGGAGCACACACAAGAGAGAGGAGAGAAATTCAGGCTCAGACCAAGACTTCCAGATCTGAAAATGCATTTTTGAACATACTTAAAAGATACTTAAAAGATTCATAAAAAACAACAAAAAAAAATTCCCCAGTTTCACAGTTTTCTGATGTGTGTATATGTTTTGATAAAAGTATATACAACATACTGCACTTAGATTAGCTGAAAATAGCTCAGTAATGCTATTATTGTTTCATTATAAAATCATGGGAAATAAAAAGTCGGAAAAAAGAAAAACTTCTGAAGATAGGTACCCTATTTATAGATTAATGATGATAATGATGATAAATAATGAGTGTGCAAATAACCAAGAAGTACTCTGAATTATGTGGCAGTGGAAAAAATATTTTCTCCACATTATTCTGTTTTATACAGTAAAGGGAACTCATTTATATCTTTCTGACTCTAAGGCATCCCTTTATACCACCACACTCTGAAGTCTCCTGATTACTGTCACCGTTTGACAACATGACACGGCCTAATTTATGTACTCCAAACTGATAAAGAAAACAGTTATTATGGAGCAGCTTTTTAAAAAGTTCAAATTGCTAAGGAATACAATGAATGCATGGTTACAACCTCAGAGTGTACTTCCTATTCAGTTCATGATCTAATGAAGAAAGAAAGAAAAAAAAAATCAGCATATAGTCATGTTTAAAAAAAAAAGTAAAAAAAATACTACTGTGCATCAGAAAACAATCATGTATTTTGCGTTGCTTGTAAAAGACATGATTGACAAAATCAGGTTAAGTCATTTACAAAAACGCCAAAGGATCAAGCTTCTGGCTTTGGCAAGAAACCACAATGACACTCAATGTGCTTACTGTTCAGCATAATGTGAGCCAATGAGAGTAAATCTGCCAATGCACGAGGAAGGCTACTCACAGGCACGGCTGTGCTCCTTTGAGATTAAGTAGTTGGCAAGCGGTGGCGTGTAGGTGAGACACTGCACGGTGGAATTGAGGAAACAAGTGTTTCCGAGGTTGTGGAGGCCGGCTCCCACCCTGTAAACACGCTCCCACTTAAGAGTTAGCTTGTTCCCTGGGAAGAGCATCTTCTGTGGGGCTGGGATCCCATCGCTCTGACCCCCGACCACGTTCTCCGACACTAAAGTCAAGACATTAGGACAGGGGTGTCAAACTCATTTTCACTGAGGGCCACATCAGCGTATTGGCTGACCTTAAAGGGCCAGATGTAACTTATAAATGTAACTAAATGTAATTGAATGTAATGTAAAAGAAATGTAACTACGCCTTAATGTTAAATAACTCATTATTTATCCAGTAGTTGAAAAGGCATTGTAGGAAATGTAGTTTTTGGTCAAAGCACGCTTTTATTTTTTTATTTTTTTTGGTATTCATTTTTAGACACTCAAAACTTTTAAGCTCTCACGGGCCACATAAAATGACATGGCGGGCCACATCTGGCCCACGGGCCTTGAGTTTGACACATGTGCATTAGGATATTTACATAGTATGACAGCATAATACATTATAATTAGGGAGCACAGTGTGATATCAGTTTCCGGTCAGACTTCAGAGCTTACCCTGCCTCTTTATCTGAGCAGGCTCGATAGCCTTCTGCCCAGAGGCGCCTTCAGTTCTGGGATTGAGGATCACATACTTGTTCTTCAGGCTGTCCAGCTGATAGGAGAATCCCTTACTGGCGGGCTCAAACTCTATTTTTTGAAGAAGGACCTTCTTCGCTGAAGAGGCCAGGAGTTTGTTGAGGTCACCCTCATCACCCGTGTCCTTCCGGCCAGGTTTTAATGCCTCCTTGAGTTTATCTACTATCGGCATCGTTGGAACATCACTGCAGAGGAAGACAAATAGTCATTGTCATTCACAGGTTCATGCCTCATCTTCTTATGCAAACGCATTTCAAATCACTTTACGGCGATACTAGGGTATTGGTGCATCGCAGCACAGAAAATGAAGTTTAAATAGATGCTAAATTTGTCTCCTTGCTAAATATATGAAGTGGATATTAACACTCCTGTCTGGATGTGCTTGAGTAGGTACTTGTACGAGCTTTTTTTTTTCCTGACGTAGCGTCACAAGCGATGAGGAAAAAGCATACTGAGGAGCCAGCTGGGTCTTGGCAGCTGTCCCCACAGTTATGTAACAAATCATACCATAGGATGAGGGGGAGAGTATAGAATACAGGAAGAGCACATCAGAAGGTGCTGGCAGCAGCTGTCACACCACGCTTTAACAAGACCCTCCCCCCACACACACACACACACACACACACACACTCCCCAACCGTTATACAACTCAGTGTTTTCATTTCAGTAAAAATGAGGCAGCCAAAAGGAATTGTGGATGAAATATGACAACACAGAAAGATAAAACACATGCCCTTTGTCCAGCGTTCCTTTAAAGGAGACAGAGTGAACAAAGCAAAAAAAAACTATATTTCCAGAACAGACAGCCATCTGTCAGAGAAAATGAATGACTTCTGATGTGTGATTTTCTGTGAAAATATGCTGAGTGGTGACTGATCACAGCGTTCACCCTTAATTTATTCTCCCGTTTTAGCGATGTAATCAAGATGCCCGAGTATGGCGCAAATGTTTCAGTGGTACAACAGAGGAGCAAAGAGAGCCGTGCTCATCAGAGTGGGCAGTGACGTCATGAAGAGCAAGGAGAGCTGGACATGTATTGTATGCACAAGGACACGCTGACCTTCCCATGCTGCCGCTTCTGATACAACTAAGACCGGCGATGGCCAGTGGGACGCAGCTAACTGCAGGGATGCAACCACCGGATCAGACAGACATGCTGAACACAATGTGATGATTGATCAGGTTCTAATTGCATCAATTAGCTGCCTTCGTAACGCAGGGAAACCGACTCATTTCGTTCGTATTTGTATTGGAAAATGTGTTGCAAACCAAATAGTCCAATAGTCACAATAGTTGAATATTCCCTGAAATAAACTACTACTTCTAAAACGAATAGTAAATTCAAGATTATGCAGGGTAATGCAACCTCGCACATGAGGAGTACTTCTGTGATGCCTTTGGAGTTGGGATAGAAAATAAAAAACATGATGTGAAGTGTCTATTACAGGAAATATAATTCATACAAGTAACCTTTTTTGCTTTTAATGCAAAGAATTTTTTTTCTGTTAATTTGTGTCACCATTATAAAGCAAATGTGGTAATTATTCAATTAGACAATTTCTTAGGTAACTGTCACACGGCATTTATCAAAAAGCTGTCAACTATCAGTGAGTAAGAACTGGAGAAAATAAAAAACCGGGAGAAATCTTTTCTCTGGTTTATTTTAATGTAGGTGAATGGAGATGACTGCATGTAACTGTCTACAGAAAGCGTTGAGCCACATGCATCCGCCACACAAATGATACGGGCATATTTTCCTTAAAAAAATAGCATTTTTGTCCACAGAGAACCCTTCAGGCACTCTTCAATGACAATATTTACTCAGTGCATATCAGAGCACACTGCTGTGTACCATCAAATATGTAACATGTAAGACGTAGATGAAAAGAGTCATTGATCAAACAAGTAGGCCTCCCATATGAAGACTACACACGCGATGAATCAATCTGCAGGCAGCTATGTTTTAAGATAGAACAATTTTTCCTCTGAAGCAATACAAATTAAGCAAATATGTATATGCAATGTGCATACATACGAGTAAAAATTAATCAAACTATGATTATTTTCCAATTACAACTGAGATGACTTTTACTCCTATTGGAAAAAATGTATCATCATTGATAAAAATGTATCTCATCTTCTCACTTAAGAACTTCTTGAGGATGAAAAGTTTCTGCTTCTAAATCAAATAAATTTGTCACATAAAGTTATTATCTAATATTAACAGTGTAGTTTAAAACTGCCAGTTGGATAATGTCAAAGTTCTGGGAAAATGTGAAGTGTTATTTATAAAATCTGTTGAAGATGAATAGCAACAGCTACCTATTTTTGAGTCCAAGAGAAAAATCCACTAGATCTTTCAAAAGGGGCTCATACTTATAACTTTTTTATGGTGTTTTCAACAACCCTCCCTGCCAGAAGGAAAACAAGAGTAGACTCAGGTCAGGACACGTTACACCCCATATGCTCTAACAGCACAAGTACTGGGGTAGGCCTCATATTTTATATGGATTACGGACGCAACATGGTCGGTAAAAAGAATTGATGGAAAGGTTATGGGACTACTTCCATTGAAAAGGCCAATTATTGCGGCTGAAAAATTGTTGTAAAAAAGCTACCATAAGTCAAGTTTCACTGATACCAAAAATCTAAAACGAACAAATAATAAAAAGATTAAAATAAAATAAAAAACAAATCACGAGAATTCACCCCCAATCGGAAATCACAAATCAATGGACTTCAACAGTTACTTGAAGGCAGCACCGCTTCTGTTGACACTCAACCAACACATTTTTGCTTAAAGCTTGTTTTCTAGCAGTAGCCAGTTCACCGATTTCACCGATTTTCCTCTGATGTGGTTAGTCCATTTCGTTGTCGGACACGTTGTAGACTGAGCAGCTGCACTCAACACTTTGGACCAGTCATCATCGCTTACATGCTAGGTTGCTACCCTCGGTCACAGTATTTTTTTTTGTCAAAATGGTTCAGAGATTCAACTAAAAGGAGGGAAATTCGCTAAATATATGACTTAATGCACATTTAAAATGTATTTACCAACATTATCGAACTTTTCGAAACGTCTAAGTGCAACTGAGTGTAATAAAACTGGAGTGACAAATTAGCCAGCGAGCTAACTTAACGTGGCGAGAGCCTTAGCCTTCCTCAGTGCTGCAATGTGGGTTAGCATCCCAGAATCCAGGTGGCTAATAATCTCTGCCACATCCTATCTTCCAGTCTCCCAGTATCGTTTTCGACAAATTTAACCAATATTGCCTAAGTAACAAATGTATTTACTCACCTTTCTGTCAAACGGCCAAATTATTTAACAATAGAAGGGTCTGCTCACTCAGCTGAAGCTACCGAGTCTGGTATTTCCCCCATGCTGCATTATCAGAGGGCGGAAACAGCGGAGACAGACAGTGAAAATGCACCAATTGCAGTGCAGGTCATGCCGTAATAGAAAGGCTCAGCCAATCAACGCTTACAGTGACGTCCAAGTGTCGACAGAGAGCCACACGTGACTTTCAGGCAGCGCTGTTTACCATTGCATCGATGAAGAATTTCTAATAAAACAACAATTCGAATATTTTTTCAAGTCTAGATGGACAAACTAATCCTTCAAATCACTATCTTACGGAGAATCAATCACGTCCCTGTTAAATCTACAAAACTCCAACAAACCTTCCAACATTGCAACATATAATCAGATTATCGACGAACCTACAGGCAAAACAATGTAATTATTCCCAATCTGTCCAACAGAATGGCAAAATAAATGCATATAGTGAGAGCCAATCAAAAATGTAAACAGGCAATTCCAACTTCTACGATTTACTTCATCATATTGTGTTTCACAGGGAATTGCATTTTATTTAATATGAGAGAAAACCCAATACCTCAATGCATCATCGTTTTTAATTGACTAATAATTCATTCATATTACGAAATCAGCGTGTAACATGTATGATAAACTGGCCGTCACATGGACTGCCTCGTGGACCAATGGACTTCCCGAGCACTTCTCTCCACTTGGTGGCAGCAGTTTACAGTATCTGTGCATCATTTCTGGTAAAACTGATAAAGGAAAGTATTTCTACCACAGAGGTTAAACCTAATTTATTCCACACATCTCTATTCAAGTCAGTTGGGATTAATGATGTTTGACTTTTGGTAGTTTTATGTACTGATGTGAAAATAATCAGTATAAAGTACATCAAAACAGAGTTTGGCATTTAATAGGCAAATATACAGAAACTTTTCTAAAGAATATGCATGCAAACAACCTCAATAGTCCACTGTGAAACCAGCACAATACATCATACTTGATAACAGTTCCAAATGCAGCGTGTTTTTACACTCATATTATAGGTTTATGGCATTTATTTGTCATTTTAGTGCCTCCACAGGAAAATTATTAATATAATATGTTCTTTATATTGATCTAAAGGATGAGCCAGTGAGACATGTGACAGGCCTTAAGTTTTCCGTTTGCAGTACACAACATTGATGCACTTTGCCAAAACACTTATTTTTGATCTTCTAAAATAGCAGTAGTTCAATATAGGATATCAGTGGTGTGATTTTTTAAAAAGATTGTTACAAAAACATGGGCTTGTTCTTTTTTTTTCAAAGAAATGATGACGTACAAAATTTTAAATAAAAATGTTCTCCTGCACACAGACACACACTAAAGCATTATAAAGAAAGAATATATGCTATTGAAATAAAAAGTGGACAATCCAATACTCATGTACAGCTCATATTGCCGTGGTAATTACATTATAAAGGACCTTTTTAGGATTACTTGAGTGTAAATACTTGCACATCAAAACTAATTATTGCAAAAAAGTTTGGTGGTAGCTTGGGATCAGTAGCATGCCCCTTTTTTAACATGAATATTTTGTCACAGCAACAAACAAAAAAAATATAAGGAAAGGAAATTAAATGTTCTGAAAGATCAACAGAGAGTCTGAAGACCAGGCTAATGGTGGTATTTCTACCCCTGATAGCTCTGAGATATCAGGATGAAAAACATGAGCTGGTGGAGACAGTCTTGCATAGCTCATTGTAAAGATTTGTATATTCAGAATTTTTTTAGTAGTATCTCTTCAAAACATACTTGTATTGAGAGAAAAATAAAAATATAGTTACCCACACAGAATATCTCAAGAAGCCAAATATCATGACCAGAAATACAAAATTGGGACAATTGTTCATTTATTTCAGCTGAAAGTGGTTTATGTGGAAGTGCTTCAAAGTTAGGAGTAAAAGTGGAAAGTGCTGAGTTCAAAAGAATGTTAATTGAAAGCATGAGCTGCAATAATAAAACTTTTCCTCATAATGGTGTGCCCACACTGATTGAAAATTTAAAAAAAAATCATAATTAGACATTTAAAATCTTTATTTCCGGTTTGGATGTTTATGTTAGAACATTTCAACTGCAGCCATCTTCAGACTTCAAATAGTGGTGGAGTTACGGGTCTTCGATGTCCAGGAAATCCTTTTTGGGTGGTGCACTGCCTCTGTACCAGGCACACGAGTCGTCACTCCTTTTGATACAAGCAAAATGTTTGGCTTGCTCTCCATTGACCATCTTCTCGATCACCCAGTCTGTCCAAAGGCACTCGGCTGGGCTGCTGAGTATGCAAGGGATGGAGGTGCAGCGGGTGATCTGAGGGGTTAAGATTAAACAAAGATGAGGAAACAGTTCTACCGGCTGATGTTAAGGGAAATATGCGAATGTCCAACTTTGTTTTCGATATGGAAGCAGTTTTCTTTACCTTGCAATCACAGCCCGTTTCATAGCGCTGCGTCAAGCTCTTCTTTTGGGTTTCAGTCAGGGAGTCCCAAAGCTCGATCAAGTCACAGAGTGTGACGTGCATCGTCCCATCGGCCTCCAGCTTGCCTGAAAAACAGTGAGGAATAAGTTGCGATTCGATGTAAAAACGAATACGTTTCAGGCAGGACCATTTGTTTTAGAATAAATTGTGAGAGTCTTACCTGTGATAAGGTACTCCTTCTTGCCATTTGTGTCAAAAGTCACTCCACACACTGCAGAGGAGGGACCAGTGTAGATGGCATCAATAAACTGATTGGGTCCTTTGAACATCTAATGATCCAAACGAAGAAACACAATTTGATTTGTATTCCAGTTAATATGCAGTCACTTAGATAGTTTAAAAGGGTTTATATCACACCTTCATCTGTTTGATGTCATACTTGATCTTTTTGATGGGATTTCCGTAGACGTCATTGCCAGCCTCAACTTCCTGCACTCCAACAACTTTTGCCCTTATAACTGGAAAAAAAAGAAAGAAAGACACAAAACAACCCACATCAACATGTATTGTATTTGAAGACATGAGTATGATGTTCAAACTGAAATGGATCCATCTGTATCTGATCTAAGCCCTGCCCAAGTTTGGCACGCTAAAGCTGGTCCCAGCACATTGCTGTGGCTTGGAACTGGGAAGCGTGCATGTGCCAGGTGCTGGGAAGACAGAAGCACATGAGTGTTTCATCAGCTGCAATCAGAGGGAGGAATGTGCACTGCCTGTTCCCAGGTTCCTGCGCCAACACAGGAGGAAACCAGTCAGCAATCTTTGAAAGGCTGAACCAGAAATCTCCCCCCTTGCCTCCAGGCCTCTCTCGGCCAGCCTATGTCTGGATTGAGGTGCTGACAAGCAAATCAGTTCCACTTGTTTGTGCTACCTCTTATTTTTCCCTAGGACTTTGTTTTGATTGATGTACATCTCTAAATTTGGGAAAAGTATCTTCAAACGATTCCAGTGGGAAAATATATTCTAAATGTTCAGAACAGTCAAAAAAGAAAAGAAAAAACAGACATTTCAATTTAAAAATGTCCTTATGAGAGCCCAAATATTAAAACTCAGTATGTCACGAGCACGACAGAAAACCTATTTATTACCAGCACGTCACAAAGGACTCTGTAAATGCAGAATTCTGCAACACTGAAAGGATTCATGGGACTTTGAGTGGAGGAGTCTAGCGACAGAGCTAATGCTGACCAGATGTTATCCCTCTCAAGTTCCACTTCAGCCTTTTTCTTTTTTAATGTGGCAGGAAACTACCAATATTCTTATTCTCCCCAGTCTGATTGCTCATGAAGGATAAACATGTAGATTTGCCTTTTGTGAATTGATTCAACTTAAAGCCACATGACTGAGTCCAGTGACAGCAAATTGTGTGCAGAAAGATTGAAGGAAACATTTTAAAAAATGGAACCTTTACTTCTAGCAGGTATGGAAACAGAGAGCAATATATACAGTCACAATCATTCAAGCCACCAGGGAAAAGAGGTTGAATCATCTACTGAACCAGGATAATCCATACAAGTCAAGAATTTCTATTTTAGGAAAAATGAATAAATAAAGGCAATGATAGACTGAGGTGCTCAGAACCTCTTAAAAAGTTATTCGGCTGAACAGAGGATTAGTGATAATCCCCCTTCGCTCAAATGTGCAGAGTAACAGACAGGAAGGTGAAAATCTCATTACGTGAAAAATTATGCAAATTATGCAAATAAGACTTGTCACTTAATATGCGAGTGCTGGCAAATTCAGTTTGATAAAAAAGTGTATGTTAAACATGTTAGTAAAATGTATGTGCTATGATCTATAGTCTAAGATGCATACATATGCCCTTTCTTCCATCACCGAAATCCATAAAAATTCCTCATATGCCCATTCTCCCGAAGCTTTAACTGCTCTTGCTTGAGGGATTTCATTTTCTGTGCCGATGCAGTTTCTACCCGATTTACTGGAAGAGGCTGACAAAGCCTTTTAAAAAGCTGTGAGTTTCACAAAACTGGGAACAATCTGATTTTCCAGTTACTCAAACAAACAATATTTTGCAAAAAGTAAGTGGTCAAGAGAGTGCTTTGACAAAAGAAAGAGAGAGAGGGAAAAAAAGCAAAACAGCAAAACACATGTCATATAATTGCAGAGTCTGTACATCCACTTTCCTCTGAGAAGCCACAAAGTGGTCAGAGTTTGAATGAGGAAAAAGTAAAATATAAACTTTAACAGACTCCTCTGTAGATACTGTCCGAAAATGCTTAGGAACAAACACCTTTCTTTTTTTCCGGTAAATGAATATTTACTCTGAAGACCTCAGTCTTCTTGATTGTCTTGTTGGCATTGCTCCATTTTTAAAAACATACAACATAAAAAAAAGACATTTATGGATTACAAGGGGCTGGCTCCTTGGGCTTTTTTCACAAAGCACAAACTAGTTTGAGAGAAAATGGGTAATTCCTCAGTATTCTCAGTCTGAGCACTGCTTCATCATTAATAGAAAAATATGAACAATCCAGGTTTCCTCTCAGCACTGCCATGGATTCATCAGCATCCTCTCCAGTGTCGTCACATCTGCATCACCACCTGCACTGACTTTAGAAGCATCTTGAGAAACCAGTTTCTACCAAGACAGCTTTTGTCTCGTGGAGCTCAAACAAAAACAACCGACTTGTCTTTTAAAAAGCCAATCTCAACCAGCATATTCAAGGGGCGTTTCCTCTTTAATCAGCTCCTCCATACTGTATTTTATTCAATAGTCTTTAGGCAGTCTATGTATCACTGATTTTTAAAGTTATTGTAGATTTTATTTACATTTTCGACTATTGGAAGAAAGCAGGAGAGAGGTCTCTCCAGTTTGAGTTCCCTTTGTTGTCTCCCTGGTAAATTCTGAGCAGAATTCAAAAGTTCTGACCACCACATCCAAAGGTCTTAAAGTTTTTGTGTTTTCCAAATACGGTACTTTGCTCTCAGATGTCTAGTTCCTAACGTTTCTCAGAAGGAGTATAGCCCTCTCTAGTCAGGTCTCTGTCTTATGGAACCACCTGCTGGCATGTCCTCAGGGAGTAGACTACATCTCAACCTTTAAGTCAGGCTAAAAACCTTTCTATGGCAAAGTTTGTTTGGAATGGCTCCAGGGACCTTAAAATGCCTCAAATCCCTTCATTTACTCTGCCTGACTTATTTCGTGACATGTCAGAAACGTGTGTATCATCCCTCAGGTGTCATGGTGCCTGTTTTCTCTTCGTTCCCTTCCTACCGATGGAGGGGGGCGGCCGCCCTTTCCAAGTCTTGATTCTGCCAGAGGTTTTTTTCCATTTGAGTTCCTGTGTCTTTCTTTAAGGGCTCTCACTAAACCTTAAATCCCAAAACATCATATAAAACAGATTTTCTTTAAACACATTTTTGCGTCCATTAAAGATTTAAATATGATGTATCATAAAAAATAAATACATTAAAAAAAACTAAGTTAAAGTCACATCAACACAACCGTATTTATTGGAACAGTTTATGAGATTGATGCACTGGTGTTTAAACATGACGAATCCCTGAAAAAGAAGGCGGGGTGCTGTGTGACAGAGCCAACGATGGATCGTGCCAAAGGGACAAGAAGATGTTGCCAATGTCCAACTTTTAATTGGGTGTGGAAAGACTCTAAAACTCTTACTGACATCTGTTCAAGTTTGCAAAACTTGCCACTGTGCAGACATCAAGCCGTTCTCATGCTGAAGTAATTTGGTAAATATAGAAAAGACTAGAATACAAACAAGCTATTTGAAGTCCCTTAATAGCAGTGCCTTTAGAGACAAAGCATGATATCCCTAATTTTATTAATCTCATTAAAATGCATATGATAGATAATGTGAACATAGTATTTTTAAAAAGTGGTATATGCTCTGCATATAAAATTAGCTTTAGGGGGTTGACAGCATCTGCTGGTTGGATGGATGTGCATTATTGCTGGTGATGCTAGAGTTCGGAGCAGCTGTTGGGACTGTGCACATTCAGTCTGGCTAGTGAAAGCAAAAAAATAAATCTGGTTTCAGTGTCAGTTCTGTTTAAACAGCTTGCAGAGCTGCATTTTATCCCAGAAGTCAAGTTTAGGCCAGCGTTTCCTTTTCAGGGATTGAAACGACTCACTTTCTCTCGTGTGCAAAAAAGACAGCACAGATACACTCTAATGGCCAGAAATGCTGAAATAAAAAAGAGAGAAGTAGGCTATAATGAGGACAGCATATGACTGCCCAAACATTCCTCTGCCTCAGCAGAACACACAGGGGATAAGTTTCAATGCAAGAGGAAATACTTTTTGCTTCATTCTCTGTTCATTTTGACAAGAGAAATGTTGCTCAAGGCTTAGAACAAAACAGGACCTGGTATTTTATTTCCTGCAGCAGTGGGAGAAACGAGGCAGGCCCAGGTTAGAGAGGACAGTTGGGAGCTACTCAAAGTTAAACGAAGAGCAAAGAACAATCTGTTTATACTACAGCTTGCACCAATAATCCCGTTTTGCTCAGACTTTAAGACCCTTCTTCTCTGAACTACTCCAATGCAAGTACAACCATGATCCTCAAGTGACATACTGATGCAACACTATTTCACAGTGGAAAGTTTACTGTTTTAAGTTCTTCCCCATTTTAATATCCTCTTGAGACAAACTAGATAAGCAAGAAACTTGGGTAACTCTTCTTAGGTAATTCTGTGTTGAAATTTTGACCTTAACTACACTCATACAATATTCAAAGGTATCAAAACTGCCGTTATCATCATCATCTCCCATGACAAAAAGCAACTAAACAACAACCGGCATTATTTGTTGTGCAAGCTCACAAGTGACTGACTTCTGTAAAAAAGCAACTGTGGCAACTCCTTTTGACCCTCTTTAAAACTATCTGAGCAGGGCTGATGTCCCTGCTAAGTATCTGGCAGGTTTTATTAACACCTATACAAGTGCAAGCCATGGAACCCATGCACTAGTTTACAAAAAACACATTTAAAAAATACGTCAAGATCCGTCTTTAGGATGAATAAGTCAGGAAGCGTATATGATTATTGTTATTATATGATACCCTGGTTTAGCCAGAGCCCAGTAACATATGTTTTAGGGCCCAAAACATTACTTAGTTCAATATTGACCACAGGAGGAAACTAATGCAACTCAACTTTGAAATTTTGAATTTGCAATGTTTAGTTTCCTCCACTACGGTGAGGACATTTGTATCTTATAGTTTTCATGATTACCAAATTAGCTTTAGGCCGCATAATCTGTTGGGGAGAAAAAATAAAATCTCTGGCAGGGGAACACATTCTCTCCATTCTCCCAAGGCAAGGAATTCAGTGGCAAGGGGGGAAAACTCTTTGAATAAGTCACCTTCTGTATAATGCCACACACTCAGCCTTCTCACTAGCTATATTAAAAAAACACCCTCAGTAAACCTTGAACAGCTGAAAAGGCTGCTCACTGTTTCAGGTTTCTTTAAGCTCAAAGGCAAGTAAAGAATAAGAAGAGAGCAGTCTCAAATGGCCATCAGCTTTAAGCAAGTGCACCCAAACCTCTTGATCACAAATAAACACAAGTAGGGTTGTTTTCTGAAACAAACCTCACTTGTTATGTTCAACAGAGACAAAACTTACACAAAATAAAGAAAAATAACTGAATCCACCCTGTGAAAAATAATGGGGGAAAAGTTACAAGCTCCACTATAGTGTAACTTTTTTCACTTTGCCTCTGCATGGATGGAAAGTAGAGAATGAAAAAAAATCTGAATGGGGGGAGTGGAGAGGGAGGTGTTCCAAAAAAGAGCCAGAATGTAATAAAATGCCATGCAGTAGAAGAGAATCAACAGATGATCAGAGGAAAAAGGGGAGGGCAGTAGCAAGAGGGGAAAAAAAACACACCAACTCCCTTAATTTGATCGCCAATAACACAAGTGGACCTTTTTTCTACTGGGCTTATCCAGCTTCTTCGTCGAAACTGGCAACCTCAGAAATATACTTTCTATATCACAAAAGCCATCTTACCGACGTCAGAGTTGCAGAACGCCTGCTGGGGATGCGCAGCGGAGCAGCTGCAGGCTTGTGCCAGGTCCTCCACCCGCCAGAGCAAAAGAATGGCCAGAGTGACCAAACAGCTGTTCGTCGTCCAGGTCATCTTTGAAAAAAAGTTTTCAACTAAAAGAGGAGACGGATGTGCAGGGGGGGGTCGGGCTGGGGTTGAGGAGACCTGAGCGTGTCCCTGGCTTCAGAGGGAGGGAGGACGGTCCTACTGTCAGAGGCGCTGGAGACGGGGGCTGCAGATCATTCCTGTTGCGCACGACGCTGCTTCCACTCTCTCTGCTCGGTTTTTCCACTACGGGTGAGGAGCCGGGGCGTTTTATGGCCTCAGTGGCACCAGGCTCCGCCCCCCCCCCCCCCATCCTCCCCCTGCCTGCGGCCCTGCAGCCTGCCGGGTGGGTCAGGGGCTCCCAGCCTTTCGCATGCGCCCGCGAACTCCGTCACCAGCCTGGGTGACACAGTGCTATTGCGTAAAACGTTGGTTAATGCTTTCCCCTGAACGCCTTTACTCGGATGTGACCGTCCTTTCAACCCCTCAACCCCCCCCCCTTCACCCGACCCAAGGCATACACCCAGGACTGAACTTTCTTTAAACCCTAGATTATCTTAACCCTAAATTTACCCAAATCTTAGTTATCTTGGTTCATGATACCTCAGAATTATCAGCTCAGCTCTCAATGTGAGCCTACCATCACGATGCTTGATTTAGGCTTAAAGTAGAGTTATAATATTATTATCTTGACTGAAGATGGCCCGTCAGTTAAGGTGGAGAGGGTTGTGCATTTGCGTTTTTTCTGTTACGGAGATTATGTGAAACATGGTCCCCTCACATTTCAAGCTTCAGGTGGTAACTGTCATTTAAATTTAAGCAGTATGAAAGCCTCATACAGCAAGTTATAGAAACAACATTAGACAGGAACTTCCAGATTTTGTTTTAGGCCAAAGTTTAAATCCATGCTCATAATTTACAATAATTTAAAGTAGATAAAAACAAAACTAAAATCTGTGTGCCAAACATTGTGTGCCCTCTTGCGTTCAAATTCACAGAAGAGACTTTGCGTTGTGGTTTTTTGTCTACGACAGAAGCCAGACGGGAAAAAGTGTACTGGGAAAGTTTTATGGATTAAACTGAAGATAATTTAGTTTTGAGGTGTGATTTCCAGTTAAACTGTTCTCAGTGGCCTTTCAGATAACGTTATTACACAATTTTTTTAGTCTACTTTCCATAAAAGGAGACCTCCATCCACTTATACATTTGCTCCGTTACAGTTTATCCGTTGAAACATTGAACAGTTCACTGTAAACAGGAACTGCTTATCAGCCTGACATCCTTTAATGTGGTTTCATTCAGTGAAAGTTTATTCCAGTCACTTTCAGTACCTACTGGAACACTGAGGAATTACGAGGGCGGAGCGGAGGAGTGGATATAAGTGACATCATGCTCTTACACTTAATGGATTCAATCTGGCAGCCATTCCTGCTGCATAAACTACCCAAAGCTCTCCAGTTCTCTGTGAAAGAAACATTATGTTATAGTCACATTCTTGAGCTATTTGTCACCCCTCACTCATGCACAAAAATAGACTGCTTTTATTGGAAATTAAACCACTCCGACACCAACTAAGGAAGCGTAGGATCTGGAGAGGTCTGAGCCACTGTGTTGATTTTGGCCTGGACGGTATAGATCAGAGGCAGGGCAAGGTCTGTTTGATGATTAGTGCCGATGACTGATAATGAAAAGGACCGAAGTGAAAACAGGGGGAAGAGGACTGTAGCTGCCACACTCCCTGACATCATATTTGGCCACTGACTGTCAGTCGTCTGGCCACTCCGGCAAATATTTCCACTGTTTTCCATAGTTGAGCGGTTTTGCCTGCTTTCTTTTCCACCGGTCTCTGACTAGATCTTTCATTAACACCAGGCAGAGAGAGAGCAAAAGAAGAAAGCAAGTGATCCAACAGACTTATCATATCTGCAAAGGACATACCTTGTGTAGTTTTCCTGATGGGAAATGAAGGAATCTTTGTCTTTGGCCTTGGCTGTAAAGTGAAAGGATAGGTCAGGAAAATTCCCAGATAGTTGGCAGTTTCGTAAACTGGAATGACTCGTAGGAAGAATGGTGGTTACCAGAAACAAAAGATGTACTGTGGATAACAACACAGATGTTTAGAGACTGTGATCAAGATACATTAAGGGAAGTGACACATGGGTGAGAACTTGTTTTCTTCTCCTCCTGCAATTTACCAGAGGTAGCAGAGGAACAGCAGATGCCTTCTTCGGGGCCAAGTCTTTCGCCCCTTGTCCAAACAGTTGGCTTCCTTTGCGCTGAGATACTGACTGATGTGGTGGATTCCGCTCAGACTTCAGCTGTGTCTCTGGCTCCAAGGACTATTTCAAATGACCTAGCAATATGACCATTCTGAGCTGTTTCCCACATTGCAGCTCTCCCTTTATATCAATGTTTTCCTCCCCAGTTGAGATCCGGATGATTGTATCAACATTTGGTTTGAATTTTTTGAAGGGTGGATTTGTCAGAGAAGTGTAATGTAAGCAGGTCCCCTGTCTACCCACCACCCATGCAAAAAGGTGTTTAAAAATGGCCTGAACCTCCATCCTCTAAATTACAGACTTGCGAGGCCAAGAATACTCTCCAAAAGGATGGGCCCGGTGAGGCCTAAAAAGAGGGTCTCATTGTGGGGACTGGTGGGTGCTGTGGCAGTGACCCACATCCTCTGCCCTCTGACTCCCACACCTGTTCCTGGTTGCCCGCCCCCATCGCGCGTGACCTGACCATCGCGCAGCTTTCCGAGCATACATCCCCTGCGGCACTCCGAGCCGCAGTCCGGGGGTATTTCCCAGGATTTTTCCATGCATCAGTGAATCTATTCGCATATCGTCGGTGACAATGTAAAGTAATGAATCAACATTGACAAACCGATTCAGGGAAAAGAAAGGGGAAAAACAAACGCCGAAAGACCACAAGACAGACAAATTAAAAACCACTGTGGGGTCAAATGGTTTTAACTGTCCACAGGGTGGTGTCAAAATCTAGCAGTTAGTCACAGCCAGTCTGCTGGCAATGTCCACAGAGTTTCCTGACTGTTTTGAACATATCATAAAGACACCATTGTTTTTCAGAGCTTTCAATGCATCCATTTGTACTTTTTTGTTTGTGTTGCATATTTAATGTAGTTGTTCTGGGGAACAATATGAATCTGCTCAGCTTTAAGAAACCACTGACTTCCTTTTCATTTTGAGTTTGTTACTGAATCAGCTTTTAGATCTTTCTCTGTGACATGTATGCTTTGATCAAAGCAAAGTTCATCTAGAGGCACACATATAGACATATGGTAATTCTTTCACTCTCGCCAACACGTCTGTTTTTTTCTGTGCATGTTTTGTGATATCTGCGCATTTGTTTTGTTTCTGACATGTGGAAACTGGAAACAATTACTAGACATGATGTAGAGTTGGTCACCAATGAAATTTCAAAGTTCCCAGATAAACCAAACAACCACATTGTGTCAGAACATGTGGGATTAAATGTTTTCCCGTTGAAATTACACAAGAATGAAAACACAACCGGCATCTAGTCATCGACAATCAACTGTGAAGTAATACCTAAACTTTTCCCTCTGAATGTATGACTTGGATGAGCAAACAGAATGGCACACACGTAAATGACTCACTTAATGTTTGCAGCAAAGACTCCATTTTATTTGACTGAGCTACAGTAAAGAGCCATTATGGAGGAGTCATCTTTTAGTATACACACTGATCATGTAATCTGACCAGCTGTTTGTTGCTCCCACAGACAGATACGGTAAGTTACAATGTGTTGCACTACAGCCAACCTGTCCAGGCATGTGGGCCTGCATTATAAAGTCCCAAATGTAGGAAGGCGTACAGACAGGATGGGGTGTGGCGAAAACACAAGCGCTGGTTGATTCCATGATTCACGAAGAGGAAACTGTTATCATCCTTATTCAACCCAAATCTGTTCAAACTCAGCATCTCATCTGATGACAGCAGAGGCAGCGTACATGCTTTTGATTCAGAGAAAAGAGTAATGGTAAACATGAGTTGGACTCAACACTTTGGAAAATGACTTCTTTTCCTCCAGTTTTCCTACAGCGTTCACACTGCAGCGGAACACAACGGAAAACTTTCGCGAGCAAGCCATCTAGTAAGCTGTGCTGTGGACGCAGTACTCGCTGTATTAGCGGAAATAAAAGCGCTCTGAAAATGAAGCATGGGAAGTTCTCAAGCTCTGAATAAATGAATTAACTTGGTGCAGGCAATCCTTTCTAAAACAGCTAACTTTAGTTTTTCTCTTGTCTGCGATGACTTGATTGGAAATCTGTTAAATATTGTGCCATCCAGGTTGAATGAATTGTCATCCTCTATTGCACAGTAATAGTGAGTTGATGTCAAAACATGAAAGCAGGGCAAGTTCTGACAGTCAACTTGAGATCTATTTAATTTATGTGATACATGTGAATGATGTTGTTTTTCCTAGACTGACACTACTCTACTTTTTAATGCAAATAAAAACTGCGCCGGAAAAATTCCCCTTGCTTTACTTTACCGAGGCAGAGGTTAGTTTAAATAGCACGTTTTATGTCTCAATCAGGCCACTTTGTACTTTGTCTCCACCTGGAGGAGCACACTGTGTTTTATTACACAGTCTTAGAATAATTTCAAAATGTCTTTCTTTCTCTTCCTACTGTCCCTTTAATTTGTCTTAACTTCTGATTAGAATCCAGATATTCTTTTAAAGACAAGTCAAGGCAAGTAAAGTGAAGAGTGAAAATTATCTTTCAGTCCTTTCCTTTGCCTGTCATGTATGCCAGGGTAGGCAGATATTCATTTATTCAAAGTCAATATTGAAACAATCTTTAAAGAGGTACTAGTGGAAGTGGAATAAATCCCACTTGGAAAAGAGAAACAAAGTTAAAAAGATGCTTTATCAGTTATTTAGAGAGATGAATCCCAAATTAAAACAAGTACCGACAGAAAATAATGCAAGAATTTCTTTATTTGTTTGCCATTCAGTATGGGATACAAACATTCATTATGAAAAAATCAAATGACATAATTGCCATTTAATAAAAGAATCACAAAATAATCACTAGGATGGAGAACAGCTTTTGATTGCGGTGTATTGAATGTTAATGAAAAAAGGTGATTTATTATTTATCATTTGCTTTTTTTTTGTCCTGACATTGGATCAGATGTACTCTGGTCTCACTACAACCATGTAGGTGTACCTGTTATTGGGACAGGGATAGGCAAGGGCCTGGCTATCATTTGTGGAGATGTAAGCCAGGTCGCCCTTAAAGCCCTGAACCTGACACACGTACTTGTCTTGGCACATGAGCAGCAGGCGGTTACGAAACAGGATCTGGCTGTTTGGGCTGTAGTAGGACTGCCGCAGCCTCACTGCAGGAGCAGACTCACACGCCACTCCTCTCCATGAACACTGCTGCTGCGTGCTGAAGAGATCTGCTTCCCAGCTGGTGGTGTTGCCCTGAAACAACAGACTGTTGTGGAGAGGGGTTACAAACGACTTGGTCGCGGTGAATGATGGTTGAGTTGGTTGATTATAGCCGTAACGGCCATATGAGCCCCTTTGGTTGTAACGCTGGTATTGTCTTTGAACTGGGTACGGTGAATTTTTGACTGGAGAGTAAACATTGGTGCTCCAAGGCGCTGCTGTGTAGGTCCTGGGCTTGTATTCGTCATTTTCTTTGTTGAACTTTGGGTTGGACAAAAGATTGCTGAAGAGAAGAACATTAAACTGATATGCTTTCAGTACGCCGTCACGGTATACATTCACATGGGTTTTGTACAGAGGCGAGCTGGACTCTATGTCATACAGCCTCTCAGCAGGGATCATAGGGAAGCGGATGAAACTCAAGAGTTTGGCCTGGGTTTCCAAACTGATCGAGTTGCTGTTCTTCGTGATCCAGCTCTCCACAGTCTGAAGCACAAAGTACTCATCTGGCACCACCAAATCTGAGCGGGTTAGAAGGGCTTGAAGTAGCTTAGATGGAAGGTTGGTCCAAGCCTGAGAGTTGGTCAGGTTTCTGTAGTTCCAGGCCAGGAACTGGATGCAATTTTCCTCAAGGACTAAATCCCCGGTCTCCACTGCATATTGGTAAAGGGAACCCTGGGAGACGTAGGAAGCATCTTCTGGGATAATTTTGGAGAACAGCCGGCCTATGTCTTCCATAAGGTACTTGACTTTAAACTTAGAAGCCATTTGATGGAGACATAGTGCAGATGAGAAGGTCACATCAATCTTATGGGTGTAAAAGTACCTAAAGAGAGCAGATTATCACATTTCTGTCAGATATTTTCAAAGGCTGCTTAATCTGTGGGAAAATATGTCACATTAGTTTAATGTACCTGACGAATGAGGTGAAATATGGCTGGCACTGCATGCTGATGTCAACTGTGATGCTAGTCATGTCTGAGGAAGTGTTAAAGTTTGGGAATAGGGAGAGGATCATTTTGTGGGCACAAATGATGGTCTTCATTTTCTCTGGGCTGCCATCTGCCTCTTTGTTTCCAGTTAGACTCTGGAGCGTGATCAGAAAGTCACAGCCTGTTCCGCTGTCAAAGATTCGGCCAAGGTCTTCTGACAGGCTGATGCTGTGGTCCAGTGAATATGTAGAGTTACTGATGGTCGAATTATTGTCTGAAATCACAACATTAGGAAGGGAATATTGTACAGGAAAAAATTAATGTGCAGTTCTCAAAGAGAAAAATCTTTTTCTAATTTAGCCGTCCACACTTTTCCCTTTATAGAGTTTGCTTACTGTCCGTTTCACAAATAACTCCAACATCCTCCTTGTGGGAGCAGTCTGTTTTTCCCCAGCCTTTAAATCCACAAGACACAAGCTGACTCTCCGTTCCCTGGCAAGAGATGTCATCCAGCCAAATGCGTTCAGGTGCTATGATAATAATAACAAAAAAAAAATACATCGACTTTTAGATCTTCTAACTTATTCACACTGAACAGTGCCGACTGGTGGAGGATAAGTGGAAGTGAAGGTCACCTTGTGGATATTGCTTCCCGACCACTACGGATTTGGCGCCAGGAAAGTTGAGCTGACGACACACCACCTGGGCCTCAGAGAGGTCCCACCCGTCATCGCACACCGTTCCCCATTTTCCGTCATGGTATACCTCAACACGGCCCTCGGAAGCGCTCTCTGACCCAGACAGCCTCAGATCACCTTCCCGTGGTTCAGAGTTTACTTCTGTGTGCAATAACAGAAGTAATCAAGTTCAGCAAATATCTACTTCACCCAAAGTTCAGTCACTTGGCTCTGATAGTGGCAAATGAACGGGAATGCACGAGAAATAATCGATCACTGGGTTGTGCAGAAGTCTTGAGCCATTCCTAACTGTATGTTTTTTTATGTATTCGGGAAAAGGAAGTAGCTGCACCAATGTATAGTATAAGTAACAAAAATTGTATAATTAGTAAAATTCTAACAAGCTTGGTGCCAATATTTGATATAGACAAATTGTATTTATCAATATTGTCTCTTCAGGACAAAATCTCCAGTTCTTTTCTTTGTCTTTATGAAACACTGTGTTTGCACAAAAACCCTATTTGAGAACCAAGTTATGCTTAGCTTTATTTGCAAGATATTTTAGAGGGGCGGCTCAATTCCTTCGCACAGTGTTATTCACGTATGGTTTTAACATCAAGTTAGGTGTTATTTTGGATGACTCACTGAGTATGTCGAGCTTGAACGCACGTCCAGATAAACCAAGAAGTAGAAGAAGCCACAGAGTGTGCAGATTTCGAAGAGCTTGCATTTTTCAATTTCCAATGCAGTGATCTGACATTAAAAACCGTGTAAATACATAGATTATTTTTACATAGCAAACATAAAGGTGAAATTCAATACAAAGAATTAATCTAATGAATCAATTTATACTCCATGTCCCAACATCTTAATCTTACTTAAAAATGCTGCAGCTACCAACCTTCTATCCAGTAGTGTGGAGCGTCGCCGTCCCAAAATGCACTGGCTCTCCCAGTCTGCAGCCCGTTCAACAGTCCAGGTTTGAACATGGACTTCAAATATATACTCGTCTACCACCCCCCTTTCCCCTCAGTTTCTTTTTTCGATAAAACAGAACAGACAAGTTATTGCACAATTGTGGATCTGTTGAAACTTGTCATGTGACAGTTACTGGCTTTTCTCTCAGAGATCCCAATCGGAATTACAAGAAAAGACTCAAAATTCAGAAATCATGACTTTACTGTCAGCACATCCCACGGCCAAAAATATTACATATGTTGGAATTTGTTTTAATCAAACTACCCTTCAGATTTGGTTGAGATATAAATAGGTCAGTTGTGCATAAAAGGATTTCGTTCAACATTGAACAAAGAAAAACAACAACTTCTGAGTGTACAATAAATGCATGAAAATGCAATCTTTTACAGAAAAGAAAATCTTTCTTAGAGATCAGTTCTATGTACATTCATTATAAGAAAGGTTACAGTACTTTGGAAACCCACATTTGGCCTCCAAAGACGTTTCACCGCAACTCGTGCTGACACTGCTTTCTCAGGACACAAATGAGGAACAGCCCCCGTCTGTACTGAAGATGATCCTTTAGGATTTGGAGTTATGTATTTTACAGGAAGCAGCCAGTCCAACGGTGTTCAACAGTGAATGAATTGTAAACAAACCAGAACTACAGTGCAGTGGCCCGAAGGGTGTGTGTCTCACGACACTCTATACGAACTCTAAGCCTTCATATTTCACATCCCCGATCTTGCTCTCTGGTAAAAGAATCCGTCCATCGAGAGTGAAAGCCGTGATGTATGTTGCAATCTTTCCGGCGTCCTCCTCCGACTTGAGCGCCAGAATGATCTGATCGTCTGTGTTGGGGACGAACTTGAAGGAGGAGAAGCCGTGGGTGGGATTTTGCGGCCCCACCTGGCTCACTTTGATGTCTTTGAAGTCCGGCGAGCAGCTGAGGGCGAGGTTCGTCCCCCGCCGTTCGTCGGCGGTCTCTTCGTAGCGCTCTTTGCTCGCCCGGCGGGGGAGGAAGAACCAGCGCTGGAGGGTGTCGCTCCAGGCCGCAGACTCGTGGATAAAATAGCCTGTGGAGAGCAGGAGGCGGTCAGAAGGCAGCTAAACAAAGGCAGAAGCAGACCCCTGAAGGAAAGATCAAAAAAGAAAAATTTGTCTCCTCACCCGGTGGCTCGATCCCTGCTGCGGATTTCATGGCTTTGTACTTGGGCACCCAGTTCTCATGCACCACGTCGCCTCTGAAGCCCACCACTTTCACCCACTCCGGGTTGTTGTTGACGAACTCGCCCTCGGTGGTGGTCCACTCTTTTCCCAGGCCACCCACGTATAGGTGCTCGTCCTTCACGGCGAGCCACTCGGCTTTAAACCCTACAGACAGTCCACAGCACGCCGCTTTTACCTAACTGCAACAACAGACCGCCGGGGGCTCCGGCCTGGTGCCGGCATGCGGGGAGCACGTACCTTTGGCCACGCTCCCGTCGCCATCGGCCAGGATGACCCAGGGCACGGCCTTGTTTCCCTCTATGTGGTAGACCACGCCCGTTCTGTCGTCGACGCTGTAGAGCTTGCCGTTGAAGGCCACCAGCTCGGACAGCTCCATGCCCCTGCCCTTCTCCGCCAGGTGGCTCTCCAGCAGCACCCGGTCGGCGTCCCACTCCACCGCCACCCGGTCGCCGCTCTGGGACACCAGCAGGTAGCCCAGCCGCATGTAGCTGAACCAGGTCAGCTTTTTCTCGCTCAGGGAGTTCGTGTCCAGGTCGGCGATGACGGCGATGCGGTAGCGGGCGCCCTGCGGCGTGCGCTCGGGCGGGCTCAGGGGGTAGGTGTCGTTGTAGCGGGAGGTGGACGGCCGGCCTTCGCTGCGGCCGGCCCGCCAGCTGTGGGACCCGTAGGGGCGATAGCGCAGGCCGGGGCCGAAGTGCATGAAGAGGAGCAGGACGAAGGCCAGGGAGAGGATGACGAGCACGATGGGCCGCCATTTGAGGCGGAAACGGGGGTCGGTGGGGTTGGCCATGGACGCCAGCATGGGGAGGCCTCCTGCAGAGATGCGCAGCGGGATCATGGGGTCATTCTGCTCCGGCCGAGCTGAGCCTGGGGGGCCAGGCATGGAGGACGGAGGTGCGTTGTGACCTAACGAAGAAAAGAGGGAATGTGACGACAATCGGACAAGCCATGATAGAAAAAAAACAACAACCTCACCCTCACCCAAAACCAGTCACACCCCCATGTGACGACAGCACTGCTCTGTAGTGGCACTATGTTCCAGCAGGACAGCAAAAGGCCCCACAAAGAGAGAAAACAAGCCAAATGACTATGGAAGGGCTCACAAAAGGGTCCACATACACAACCTGACCGGATCTAATGACATTTGGTGAAAACAAATCCCTTCCGAATAAAAACCGTCCCCACAGGGCACAATAGATAAGTTATCATTATCACACAGCACACGATTCCCAACGTCCACATCCTGACTGGTCAGGCCTGTTTGGAGAGGCCCTACTCAATATCATATGCCTAATGTTATGTTTGAGGGGTGAAACTCTACAAGCAGTGCAAACACGAGCTACTTTACAATCCCTCCAGTACAATATAATAAGTTTTACAAGTTACAGAAAAAGTTTTAAAATAAATCTACTCCTCTGAAGGGACCTTTTCTCTGTCCTGTGAAGAAAATAAATACCTAATGTCTTAACATATGCTGCGATTAATGTCTTTAAAAATCACCTGAAAACTAACAAGACAATTAGACAATACGAGTGACTTACATACTTGTCATGTGTAGACTCTCTTCTCTAAGAAACGGCTCTGGAGCTCTTTTTATTCCATCCACAACTTGTTGAATTAAGTTAAAGCCTAACCAGAAACAGGAGGAAGTCCGGCTTTAGGCGGGGCTTATTCTTAACAGGCCTACGTGGAGGCCGACGTAACGTCATAAAATGACAAAGGCGGACAACAGGTAATACCGGGTGAACCCATCCACCCTGATCGCACAGCGCCGCCCTGTGCTGCAGCTCCAATTCACTGAATACCGACGCTGAAACGACAGGCTTAATAACTCAAAATTATTCCAACATTCCCTTCTTTCCTTAACAGACATCCAGATTCTCAGACGTGAGAATTTCTTGGGGTTTTTTCTTCAGTTCCTTTGTGTCAAATTTGAATTTTGGGTTGCTGCTCAAACAAACTTTGGCAAATCTGAGAAGTCTCTCTAATCGTTGGTAGATATGTAATCAAATGTTAAAGCAACAGCATCTACTGCCTTGTTTTTATGATAATGTATGTTTTATATATGAAAAGGGACAAAAACAAAACAATCTAAACCTAAAACGATCTGTCCTTTGCGTGCCCAGCAAAAGGAACTCAAGATATTTGTTATCAGTGCTGCGGTTTAAAGGAAACAATCTATGAGGACATTTGTATGTACCGTATTAGTGCTGTGCAGGGGCACCAAAACATCTATCCATGTAACACCTGGGGTGCCTGTGTGTTTCAGCAGGACAAAACCACCACACAATTATTACGTTATTGACATGCAGTTCATTCCCTCCAGGTTAGATTTAGATTCTCCATTTCTGTTCTTCACACCGTCAGATTATTACCAACATGGGAATGATTTAGAATTACAATCCAGGGGGTAGACCCTGGACAGGGTGCCAGTCCATCACAGGGACCACACAGAGACAAACACCACACACACTCCTATTACTTTACTAACTAGAGAAACCAATAACTTTTTCTATTCTTCTCTCAAACGACTTTGAAACAGAGTCAACAATCCCGACAAAAATTAATGGAGCAGTCTTTTGCAAGTGATTTTCCTTTCATGCAAATCCCGGCCAAGCCTAAGCTTTCCTTCAGGAGCTTCGCAGCTGACTTTGACACGGTGCTTTTTTTTTTTTTCCCCGAGGGGGCCAACAGCTGAAAGGTTCTTTCATACGAGGAGCCCCAAACCAAAAAAGCAGAGCGTTATGGCAGAGGAATCAGGGCTCACACCCCCTTACAACTAACAGCCTACATCACCTTTAACACAACGCACGCAAATAAGACATAAGGGCCGTGCTTACCTCTCCGCCTGCCGCGGCCAGAACTCTTAGCTTCTGCCATCAGAACTAGCTCAGGTCTCCCGACAAACAGCAGTGAGCTTCAAACCCTCCGTCTGCTCGCTGATTATCTGCTGAGCAACCATGACTCCACGCCGTTCCAGTACAATGCGAGTGAACTTTACCTACACTTGGAAGATTACAAACCAGTCCAAAGGGGCAAAGTGTACAGGAGGCCAACCTGGTTCAATGAGTCCTGGTTTGTTGGAGTAATCTGCATGTGGGTATGGGCAAGAAAACATTTATGGCCAGAACAATAGCACCACCGGCATGAGGGTGAAAGGCCAGAATTCTGGTTTAGAAGTTAGAGGCAAATCTTAGTCACCATGGTGACTTGAGTTTTACATAACAGGGGTGATGTGGTGAGGCAATCAGTGCTCTGAATCCCTTCAATAGAGTCCAGAGATCAGTCTTTTCTTATGAAAGGCTTATGAGCCACAAAAACAAAGTTACCTGTGGTTCAGTTCATTTCTGATTAACCTTTTAAGAGGAAAAATGCTATTTCATGCTGCAATTTCGGAGCTTTTTAAAGGTTTCCAATGGTTTACATTCAAAAAGTGATGCAGTCAAAGGGCTTAGACTATGACAAGAAACAGCTCAGCCAAGCAAAGCCATCGCTCCAGTGTGAGCACCATCACAAACCATGGAAATCTTGACCTATTCAGCCTTAATTCCTCACAGATCAGATAAAAACACACTGCAAATGTTCTCGACCGAATTCCAGTTGGTCGCACAGATCAGCCACAAGATTGAAGAACACTAGTAGTGAAGCTGATCGTATCACAACCAGCTGGAAAGTACTGGACTCTGGCACCCATGTGGATGCTCATTACCATTCACCCCAAATTAGATACAGACCAAATATCCCCCCTCCATGACAATTTCATGGACTGAAAAAGTTAATCATTTTTTGTTTAATAAACGGTCTAAGAACCTATATAAATACACTAACACATAACTAAAGAATAATGACAAAAAAACAAGATCTAAGTATTAGATCGATTAATAGGTATTAATAGACCATGTGGCTCCCACAATGTCTTCCTTTAAACTATGCTGCCTTTAAACACGTCACCAGTTACCTTATCCTCTATTATATGCATCATATGTTTACAACTGACCTTTTTCTTCTATGTTGTGTCTAAATATGCTGTGTTCATAAACTTGACTTGCCTTTTTTTTCAGTCATTTTGTCCAACAGAGGGAGTCTGCATACAGCACTCAGCCTGCAGACTCCACTTCACCTACAGGCCTTCAAGTCACAATAGTCACTCAACATCGGCTTCACAAGGGATCAGAGTTTGATGCATGGCTGCTTAGTTTTTAGACGGGGGTGATGACTTCAGGTGTACGTGTCCTGAGTGACACACAGACCTCTGCGGGCGTGCGTGTGGCTCGTGTTCGTGTCCTGTCAGGATGCCGCGCTGCCGTCCACGCCGACGGCTGCGTTCAGGGGGACCTCTGACCGCGTCCGTGTCCGTGTCCGTGAGCTACTCACCTCAGGCGTTCAGCTGAAGGCTGGTGTCCGCCCGGCGCTCAGGTGCTGCTCCTCTGCCGCCTCATTTTCCTGCTTCTCCTGCGTATTCCGGGCAGACGGCCGTTACTTCCTGTATGCGCTGATGACGTCGCCATTGCGTCGTAGCAGCGCACCGCTGATGCCAAGGGGGATGTGATGTTGCCTTCAGGGTCCGTCGGACATATGAGACATACAAATGCACGGCTCCAAATCGAGTTTTCACTTACATACAGTGAGTAAATTAGCCTAAAGATATCACAGAATATGTTTATTTTTGTATTTATATTTTTTATTATCTCAGAACAGGCCTGATGTACTCTGGGAAATATGTACGGGACTAAATAACACACTCTGGCCTCAAAACCTGTCATTCCCCCTATGATTCCAGTAGGCAAACTCGAATGCAGTAATACAGTATTACTTATAGCATAAATCTTTATATTTCCATTTCACTCACACCACCAACCTTACATCCGTTTTCAATGGCTGCATAATAAGTCTCTGGGATGCTAAAATAGGGCTCCCAGCTGTCATAAGGTGAGAGGGGAAGGTACTGACAGGAGCCACCCAGCTCAAATATTTGCCAAAGGACTGCACGTAGTAAGAGCACCTTTCCCTGTAATGAAGGATAAAAATTGTCCAAGAGGATCAAAAGAGGAACTGTCTTTATTTTGGCAATCGTCCGATACTTCACACTCTGTACGGCACTTGTTTGAATAAGAAGTAGAAAGTCACTGAAAGAGTGAAATAGTCCAAGCAAAAAGGAATAGCAAAAGGAAAAAAATACTTTAGGAAAACAGTGGTTTGATTGTCATGTATCTGTCTGCTACAGGGTTAGGAAAGGTAATAAATATGAATTAAATCCATCGCAATATCCAAGAAATTCCCAATTTTCTGTCTCAAACATGAAGTGTCTGCACTACAAAAGTCCTCATTGAATATAAATCAGTGGTCCTGCTAAATAAAATACATTCTTGTAAAGATGATACCATAGCTGAAGAAGGCTGAACTGCCAAAGAGGAAATGACTGATTTTCAGTGCATAAAAATGTAATTTAAGTGCTTGATAAAAAAAGGCATGACAGTAATTACTGAGAAAATAACTCAAATAAAAGTTATTGATTAAAGAATATGGACTTGCAATCAAATCATTCTAAACTGTATTGTTAAATTATAGTTTAGGATAGAAATATGGAACCAAATCAATTAACTGAACCATAATAATAGAAATAAAAATACAGTAAATACATTTCCCACAAAATACAAAAAAGCCCCAGTGTCAATTGTTGGTTTGCGTGTCAACAGTCTTTTCCTCTTAAAGCAGAAAACAAACTAGGCACCAAAACTTCATGTGTTTTCACACAATGCAAACAAAGCCCTCTAAAACTTAAAAAAAAGAAAAAATATATTTTCAGAATTGAAATTTCAAACAACACAGCAAATATCAGGCTTACAATGTGCAATGACAAAGTAACAAACTAGGAATCATTGAGCAAACAAATATGCAAATAAACAACATTCTGGAAGAAGAAAAAGGAGAGGACAGCAGAGATCAGCTCTGAGCTGCGAGCAAAACCATTGGCGTGTGTCTTGAATTAAAAAGGAAAGCCCTCAATGGATTCAAGTATCTGAATATCAGTCCTTCAGTAAGACGGAGGCTGGTATTGTCCGGGCTGCTCCTGGTTGGAGAACGGCGACTGCTGGTAGCCGGTGGGAGCGCCGCTGTTGCCAAACTGGGCGGGTGGGTATGGGCTGCTGTGGTCGTGGGCGGGGTCTGTGTAGTCCTGGCTAAAATCATTCACTCCCTGCCGGTACCGTCCATACGCAAAGTAGGTCAAAAGGCCCTGTTAAAAGATTTTGGATTAATAACAGAAATGAAGCTAGCTTTGTGTTTGTGCCTCTACAGTTTAGTTCTGATCAAATGGAGACTCACCCAGGTGATGATGGAGAAGAAGGAGAAGGCCACCACAGCCCGGGCAGCATCCCCCACGACGTCGACGGCTTTGGTTTTGGACCACTGGCTGGCCAGGACGCAGAAGCAGATGAACCACAGGAAAGTCCAAGCAGCTGCCACGAGTTACAAACCAGAGGAGAAAAAGGTGAAAATGATAGAAAACCACAGCGTGAAAGTCTGACCAAGTCACAGCTCCTGTTTTCGGCCGCATGTCTTCCGTTCTTTGGTGTGCGGCATAAGCCGAAGTGCACGCTCACCTGAGAAGACTAAATCTCCTAACACGATGTATTTTCTCTCTTTGGCGTTGCTGATATTTGGAAAGTAGGCGTCCAGCATGAGGAACATAACACAAGCCAAGAAGGCCAGAATTCCAACTCCGACTCCATAGCTGCAGGCCTGATCGTTGTTGTTGAACATGCACTTGCCTTCGGACTGTGTTGTTGGGTTAATGTAGCCCTCTGCGGTGATGGACGCAAAAACCACTATAGAAAATATCTGCAAAGAAGGGAGAAAAGGGTTACATCAGGAAGCAGGTGGTAGAGACTCCCCTGCTCACATGACTATCATCACATGACTGACTTTACAGGAATGTCTCCTCCTTAAAAATGGAAAAAAAAAAGCTCAAATGAGTTAAATATGTCACGCACAAACAGTAGATAGAGATAAATCACAAGAGAGAACTAATAGCAAATGCTTTTAATGATCGAACAACTGTTCCCATTAATTAGTTGAGACAGGAAAATTCCAATATGATAATTTACCATATTCAACTTTGATTTAAATATCATCGTTATTAGGATTGAATGACTGTGGTCCTTTCTGTTCATTGTCGAAAAACTAGCAATGTGTCTTCACATTTTTCTACCCTTCTTCAGCTCTATAACAGACCTTTGGTCAGCATATTTTAGGCACTGGTCAGGGTTAGGGTTAGGGTTGAGGTGGGGTCAAAGGAACAGCACCCTTTAAATGTGGTTCAACATACACATTTCACAACCAGTCGTGTTGTGATTACGATTCTGACCTTTAGGCACCTCATATCAGCCTTTTTTTTTGTCTGCTGCTGTCTAATCATCTTAACAAAAACATGTGGTGTTTCAGCGTTCGCCTGTGCGAGCATAAGCGCAGAGCAACAGATGACGCTCAACTTCCAGTTCCTGTAATCCACTCCCACACCTCTCATCTCCATCTCCAGAAGCTAAAGCTCTTCTTTGGCTTGTTTGTCGTTTTCCCCCCCATGTCTCATCTACGCTTTTTTTTGTTCAGTCCAAACTACAGCGCTCCTCTCGTCAGGCGGAGGGTCAACCGTGGTGACACAGCAGTGGACACGCTAGCCAATAACCCCCGCTACTTCAAAAAAAAAAAAAAAAAATCACTGTCACTGTCACTTTTTCAATAACTTATCATTAGTTCAAATAATTTTTAAGCCGACGAAATATCGTGTTCTAGCATCCCGGAGCACCGAAATATGCCGCGTTAGGTGGTTTCTGTGGGCTCTGACAGCGCACATATGGTAAGGAGAGGTGATGTGACAGCTGCTGGCTAACTCTGTGCTAACGTCCCCGCGGAGTCACTCACCCAGCTCAGGCAGCGCAAAATAGTCTGGGGCTGCTTCAGAAAGCTCTCTAAATCGAAAGCCCCGCCGGCCAACGAGGCCCCGTAAGCGCTGCCCTGCATTTTTCACACGCTCCCGCACGAAAAAAGGTGTCTCAGAAAGGAGATGTTAAGGCTTCCTGTCACAGTTAGGGGAGTTTCGATTTTTCAGACAACTTCCTGAAAACTTTTGAAAGACAGCCCTCTACGGTGCGTTCAGGAGCGCCTCGGAAAAGGTTCACACATCGTTGACAATGTGACGCGCTCGTTAATTTTTTTTTAACATGACACAATCATTTTTGCTCAAATAATTTTGTCTTATTTTCACAATCCATCCTATTCCCAGGCATTCATTATTTCATTGAGACATCCGTAAAAACTTTAAAGGTGTCTCAAAGGAAAATATTACCTCCTAGTTTGTTTACTGGCATTTGATCATATTTCTCTACATAAACCTGTGCCTGTAGCAATAGATATTCAAATGTAGAAACCTCTAACTTGGAGTTTTGACCTCAGAGTGATTAAAGACTCATCTGAGAGCAGCTCTGCTAGGTATGACACATTAGTCCAAAAATAAAAAAGTAGATGCCTATTTTTATAGCACTTACATAACACTTGTCTTTGTTATTGTTCTCTATGAACCATACAACTATTCGGATGTGTGTGGAGAAAACATAATCAAAATCCAAGTAGAAACGCAGTTGCCCTTGGTCAAGTTCTCAGGATCACTGTGACCTGGATAACTAAAACCTAATAAATTCCAAACGTTTAGTTCATAGCCATCCAACTGATTGTTTTGCAGTTCTACAATGTCACCACTGGAGGACAGCCAATACTCAGGATACAGTTTCAAGACAGAATGCAATGATGTCTCATCATGTGAAACAGATATATTGCATATGCATATAGTACAAAGTATTTTTGGATTATTTTCTGTCAAACTATTCCATGTGACCTCACACAGTTTATGTTATAGATAGTTACACTGCATATCATGAGACAGGAAGCTTAGCACTTGTTGCAAATTAGTTTATGCTGTGAGAAAGAGGAAGCATACCATGTCTTCAGATGATGCTGATGTCATTTAGCAGTTTTCGTCCTAGTCTTTCATTTATTTGCATAAGTCTGCTCTTCTTTTTTCAAACACTTTTTTCAAATTTAGGAGGAAGTTGCTGGTGCCCCAACAAGAATGCGTGATTAAGGCCTAGAGGAGGTGGATGTGTTCTTTATCACAGGAAATAGAGCAGCCCTCTCTGTTAGGTTTCTTTTGAGCTGTGGCTTTCAACTGTGGTGGGCTCAAGAACAGAACGCCTTAATAGATCTTGTTCTCAGGGTCAGCGATAGCCTACCTTTTCACTGTGTTGCAAAAGAAGGACAGCCCTGTGTGAGTGGTGAATGTTCAATGCGTGGTGATCCTCAACAACTATGGCGTGCAGAGCCAGCTACAGCGTCAACATTTCTGAGATGGACTCTGACGATGAGTAATTTAATTTCTCCTCATTTTTATCTTTAAAAAAACTAAAATAGATTCGATTTTTTTTAAATGTGTGTCTTGTATTAATGATGCAACTTTCTTCTACCACTCAGACTTGTTTCCTTTCCTGCATTGAATCAACACGTCTTGTTTTAAAGCATTGACATTTCTAAGCTTTTGCAACATATAGATCGTGGGAAAGATACGTATTATACATAGTTATTAGTATTTTGTTTTCTTTAAGCTTTACGCTACTGATTAGAACTGGAAAGCATTATTTATTTTGTCAGCAGGAAGTAACAATTAAATGTAGATCATGATATTCCACTGTGGGAAAATGATATAATTTACAATGTCTTTAGTAAAGATGGTTACAATGAGGCTGCTTAATGGAAACCCTTAGACATTTAATTATTTGGGATTCTCCCAGCAGTGACCTGGAAGAAGAGTGGCCAGGTGAGGGCTCTTTCAAGCTCTTGTCAGGAACAGAAACCTCTGCTCTGAGACCACCTGAGACCATAGAGATGGATGCTTTTATGGGATGCATGGGTAGGCTAATGGTTTTTATATTTACACAACTGAAATAATGCCGGGCATTTATTTTTCGTGTTTATTTTAATATTTATTTGAAAACATTTCAAGCCACTGCTGCATAATAATTCAGTTTATCCAAAGGCATTCTTCATATATATGTCTCACAAAATACGTACTGCATTTTAAGACTGTGGCAAGTAAATTAAACATACAATGAAAAGTTTTCTGAGCCATTGCAGCTCCTCCTTTCAGACAGCGAGTCGACCAGCAGCAGTGAAACGACGGGTGTATTTGACCGAGGGCCGGTCTGCTCTCTGCAGAGACACAACTGGTCTGCCAACACACTCAGAGTGCTCTCTGCAATGCCCAGTCGCACCACCGGTGAGCTGAAATCTCTTGTTTGAACAACATTTTCCGACACGCAAGCTGATGGATTTCTGTTCTCTCAGGCCTACAAACATCGGCAGGCATTTCTGTGCATGCCAGAAGCTCACCTCTGCCCCCGCTGCCTCAGACCTCAGACGGCCCCCGTGCTTCCAGAGCCCAGGCAGAAGAGGAAATCAGTCCAGGTTAATCGAGGATGCTCAACCATATGCCACAGCTTTAACTATAGCTATGTGATTGAGGGGGAAAGGATAAGATTATATCTTAAAATAATGGTCTGATATCTAAAAAAAACAACATTTTTTAGATAATTGAAAGTTGTGAGAGATGAACCATCTGACACAAAAACCTGACAGCATGCATGTAAATGATTTTTTATCATCTATTTCTGGTGTCAGGATTGGCTGGAAATGAGGATGAGCGCCTGGCTTCAAGACTCCGAGGCCTCTCGCCAAACGACGGCGTGCGCAAGCTGCGATCTCTGCCGCTTAGCCTGGCAGAGAAGAAGAAAGTACGGTGAGACTGAAAACTGAAACTAAATCAAGCTAGACTTTCTATACTCGATAAAAAAAAGGTTAACATGCTCAAAGCAGTTTTGTCGAAACTTGCACTTCTCCATTATTTGTCTGTTTTTTTCTTAAAGGCAACTTGCATTCGGTGCTGGAGCTGACAGTTCATTCACCAACAAAAATGTTCCATGCTACAGTGTACTGTGTATGAACATATCGAGAGTGAGTAATGGTTTCGTCTTGATAATATGTGAACGTCTGTGTTTGTGTTTATCAATCATGGTCTTTTAATTCCTTGTATTATTTCTTTATCCCCTTTCTTAGACTTGGCGTCACTGCGCATTTAGCTGCCTTTCTGTCCTGGGCTCCCTACAGCTGTGGCATTCTCCTCTGAAGAGGCTGAGTGGACGTTATGGAACCGGAGTGCTCTCCTATTTCCTTTTTCTCAGGACCATCCTGTTCTTTAACTTCCTCCTCTTCACCATCACCGGCCTGTTCCTGATCCTTCCCCAAGCTATCCATCCTCCTCCCAGCGTATCTGACGCCGACAGTTTCACTGGCCTCGAGCTTCTCACTGGCATGGTGAGATGATTATACTTTAAATTTCACACATTTTCAATTCTGTGGCCCTAATTTAACCCCAATATGTCTTTGACTTTTCTATGGCAGGGTTACCTCTCTCACAGCTTGATGTTTTATGGATACTACACAGACACCACCATTACAAGTCACCAAGCTGTCCATGACAGTTCAAATGTTGATCATATGACAGAGATGGCGCTGTACAGCATATCGACCGCTTATTTCTACACAATTGCTATTGCTTTTTTCGTCATTTGCATCATTCTGGTGTACAGGTTGGAAAATTTATTTTTTACTATTGCAATCATTTTGTTTTAATCCATCAGTTTTTATGTTTTATGGCCACATTTGTGTCTTACAGCATGTCAAAGTTCTTTGGGAATAGTTTCCATGTCCTCAAATCCAACAGGAATCTATCTGAAAAGGTTTTCTGCATATGGGACTTTAAAGTCAGCAAGAAGTCATCTGTCAGACTTCAGTCTGAGAAAATCAGCACTCAGCTCAAAGTTCGCAAACATTTTTACAACCACTCAAACTATCTAAGGGTCAATTGATTGAAAACCAATTGATATTACAAATGCACCTCTTCAAACAGGAGCAGCTGTCTGAGATGGTCAGCGGAGAAGACAGCAAGAGCTGCAAGCGGAGACTGATCCGCCTCATAGTCCACGTGTTTGCATGGGCCACATGTCTGGCAGGCATAACCCTTGCGTCCACAGGAGTCTACCTCCTGTCAGATGTTAGTCAAACTCCAGCACACACCAAGAAACGGGACAAGATACATCTCATGCATATCTGAGCACCATATTGAGTCTGTTAGTAAATGGTTCTGGACCCTTACCACTAAAGTATGCTTCCTACCACATTTTAGTTCCCCTTTTTCTTTCTTACCACATGCTTAACACTTCTTAGTGTGAAGTGTGAATACTTGATGTTCTCTTTCTGTAGAATTTACCATCTTTAAAAAAAAAAAGAATCTTTGATTTAACAACAAATCTCTTTATGGATGGATAGTTGTCATTCAAATCAGCAGCTCAATACTTTTTGGATAAAAAAATACTAATAATTTTTAAAACATAAAATTATTAGCTCCCAAATCTAGAAAAACAGGAATATTAACATTTGTGATGCTGCAGACTGTCAATAAGTTCAGTACAGTGTGGCAGATAACGGTGCTCTATAGTTTCTCAGTGTTTTTTCTCTGGCAATGGCCTGCTATGGACGGAAACCCTGATGGTTGTTTTGTCCAATCCTTCACAGAAAACCCTAAAGCCGGATCCCCCAGACACTGAACTGCTGCTTTTGTCTGCAGTTGTATCAGGGCTCAATTTATTACTCCCTGGCCTTTTCAACTTGTGCGAATGGGTAGAGAACCATGACTCCCCAAGTACACGTGTGTATGTCTCCATCTTCAGGTGAGAGGAAATATTTAAATCAAAATGAACAAAAAGGTTTTGTGGGCTTGGAGAGGACGTATCAGGCTGTTTGTTCCCTGCACAAGAGAACTGCAGTTAGTTTTTCATTGCCTGGAAGTCAGATTCTTTCTGGTGCATGTTGGATTCTGGCAGGGCATCTCGTGCCGAGGTGTTTAAGCGTTGTTGAGGGTTTTTTTCTCAAGTTGTGTCAGACTTAAGCGACTGACAGTTGGCATAGGGCAGAAGAAATGTGTTGTGTTGATGAGGAAGATGAACCACAAAATGAAGCCTGTAATTTATGGTCAAGCTTTGTTCTAACTTTTAACTAGGAACACAAGCTGTGAGTGCCAACTTAAAAAAAGAAAAGATTTAAAAAGTACAAGAGGTCAGAATTGGACTCCTCCAATGGGGTTTTAAACTTACCCTCAGGTGTACAGTCAGGATGATCCCTCAGGACATGAAATCCAGTGTTTGTTGGATGTTGCATTTAAAATTTAAACTCTCAACCTTAATTTTTCAGGAACCTTTTGTTGAAGCTCAGCATTGTCGGAGTTTTGTGTTACCGCTGGCTCGGGAGAATTGCAGCAACAGAAAGTCAACATTTGCAGGTAATGGATTTTTCGTCAACCTTTCACTGTAACAACTGACTACTAATTCTCTGACAGTTATATGCTTGTTTTTCTGTTCATGCAATGAAGAACCTGAAATACTTTTGGCAGGTTCTTAACATTTTGCTTAACATTGTTGCCTAAATGCAGTGTTGGGAGAGTTTTGTGGGGCAAGAACTTTATCGACTGCTCCTGATGGACTTTATCTTCACAGTACTTTACACATTTTTGGGGGAATTTTTATGGAGGTAAGCTGGTGATTTACATGCATCTTAGCTAAAGTATTTCCCATTAAAAGATTGACTCTTTAGCCATAATATGTAATTTTTATTCAAGGTTGCTGTCACAGAAAATTCTGAAAAAGAAGAGGAAGCCAGTATTTGATATTGCTCGTAATGTGCTGGAACTCTTTTATGGGCAAACTCTAACTTGGTGACCATATATTCTCAACTCCTCATAATACCGACCATACGTTAGGGAAGAAATTAAAAATGATTAGTCTTCTGTTCTTCCCAGGCTTGGTGTGCTGTTTGCTCCAATGCTTCCTGGGGTCCAAATCATAAAACTGTTTGTGCTCTTTTATATGAAGAAGGTAGGAGTATGCGCTGTTATACTATTGTCTCAAAGATTTCTTTTCAATGCGCATTTCCTCCCAATCTTGAATTTTTCTTCTTGTCTTCTGCAGAGCAGTCTGGTGCGCAACTGTCAGGCATCCAAAAAGCCCTGGAGAGCCACTCAAATGTCAACGTTATTCATTACTCTTTTATGGTTCCCTTCATTTCTCGGTGCTGCCGTGTCTGTCCTATACACAGTTTGGATGTAAGTGCAAAGATTTCCTCATGTCCACAGGCACTGTACAAACACATATGCATATGGCTCAAGATTTGTTTGAAGAACGCAATGACAATTTGACTAGTACAAGGCATAGTAATTCACTATTCATTTTTTCTCTTTGAATTAGTAGATAATATGAAAAGTATTCAGCCAAAGCACTGATGACAAATGCATACAGAGGCGCTCAACGGAGCTTTTATTTATTTCCATTTTCATATCACACTATTTTGACTTGGATGCCATCTTGGCTTTTGTTATTGAATTAAAAATCTAACAAATAAACATGAATAATTTATTATTTTTTAAATTCTCACACACAGGATTAAACCCTCATCATCATGTGGGCCTTTCAGGAATTTGACCAGAATATATGAGTCGGGACGGATAAATGAAGAGCTGAGGAACTCGTACAAAATTCTTGACTGGATCAGTCGGGCCTACAGTTCTCTGATAGAGAACCCCTTCTTATTATTTTTGGCCACTGGGGTGTTTCTGTAAGAGGAGATGTTTTTCATTAACATTGTTTATTCGTTTTAGGGTATTTCACTGATATTTTTGTACTTTTTTCAGATTGGTGATATATTTTCACACTCAAGTTGTTGATGGCCAAGGAAAAATCATCAATCGATTGGAAAAGCAAATTGAAAATGTAGGCATAACCATTTTTCACTCCTTTCATTGATGTGGTTTACAGCACCATCTGTGGCACGTGATCAACATTTGACCTTTGATAGACAGCTTGACAAATTTCCAAAGTCTTGTGAGACCTTTCTCTCTGAAAATCTTTATTTGAAAATTGATAGATGCAGACTTATAAAGTAGTGTTATAATAAAATGTGCTTCATCATGTGCAGAAAAGGACTTTGACACACAGCTTTGATAATGGTAGCAGAGCTGTGCAGGTTCCCAATTCAACTGAATGAAATATTGCATATTAAAAATGAAATATTACAAATTTTCATATCACCCTGTTTTTAAAATGTATTCCTTTTCTGTCTCATACAGGAGGGTAAAGACAAAATGTTCCTCATCACCCAACTGCAGAACCTTCATGAACAGAATAGCCCCGTTACCCTGCAGAGATAAGGAGGCAACGATCCCGACTTCTACACAGTGATGCTGTTTTTACTCAATTCTTTATCTCTCAAAAAGAAAACCTTTCATGTGTAAAAATGCTTTGAAGTAAAAAAAAAAAACTTTTGTATTCTTTGTTTTCAATATTGTCTATGGAAAGTGTTCCTAAAGGCTTTCTAGAGAAAGATAAAATAAATCCAGGCAAATGCAGTGGTTTTGGAATAAAAAACTTGGAATTTATTCTTATTGGTGGGAAAAATTATGTGTATTAGACTGTCCTTCGTCCAGGTCTGCTTTGCGACATCAGAAACCTATGGTAACAGCAAGTCAGCCATTCTGTTTTAAGTTGAAAATACTGCATGACACAAAGGGGAGCTAAAAGTCAACCATGTTATTGCTTCCTTATCTAACAATAATGTCCTCTTAAAATTAGCTAGATAAAAAATCTTTTAGTATTCCTACTATATCACTCTTATCTAAAAAGGGCTTTTGTTGTGTTTCCACCACCATTTAAAGGCATATTCAGAGATCACTGAAAGAGCATTGTCATTTTCCAGACAAAAAAATATTTCCTTTAGTGCTGGAGTGAACTTGAAGAGAAAACAAACAGTAGGAGGAATACATGATTAACGCCATTTAAAGAGACATTTCTGCTTTACGGTACGTGACGTCACTCAACGATAGCCAATAGCTGCGCAAAGCGCGAAGTTTTTCCTCCAGTGTCAAAACATGGCGGAGAAGGGGGAAGAAATAAGCTTCAAGAAGGTAGGGGCTGATTAATAGATACTTCGTCATGTAAGTTACTTTTTTTCCCTATGAACTTGGCTCTAACGCGTCGTGGACTTCCCTTTCTCTTCGTGTTTTTGCGCCCAACGTTAAGTCTTTTCGACCAGACTTAATTTCTTGGGTTATGGTTCAGTTAAATATCAATTTAAAAACTCGCTGATATTTGAGGGAACGTAGTGAATTTTCCATGAATCTCCAAAATCGTGACAGAAGTAACGAACTGTAACTGTAGTGGAGCAAATTGTTGAGTAAACATAAACAAATACGTAATTGACATAGCTGCTCAATAACTGTGTCATGTGCTTTACATTATCGTATGCCCTGTTGATGCTCACAGGAAACTGTAAGCAAACTCCTGTCTGGTTTCTTCAAGGAAGAGAAAACCAAACGTAAGTTGGGACCACGAGGCTTTGTGATGATTGCTGCCATTGTGTGTTTGCTTGGTTTTAAAATGTGATAATATCTCTCTGTGTTACAGTAAGTGGGGATGCTGCGCTACTCATGGCAGAGATGCTAAAAGTGTTTGTCCAAGGTATTGTATTGTACTTATAAAGGACAGGAAGGCCCATTTCAGCTGCATGATGGTGATAACACTCTCCTCCCATCCACAGAGGCTGCTGTCAGATCACAGAAACAAGCTGAGTCGGAGGACTGTGACCAAGTAGACATTGAGCATTTTGAAAAGATCCTACCACAGCTGGTATGGAGATCAGCGCTGTCAATTTTGTTTTTATGTATTGTTTTTTAATCTTTTTTTTTCTCAGATGGCAAGAATTTTTTAGTTTCTTCTATTTAAACACATGTTAATTTAGTACACCACAAAATTATCATAATTTGTCTGATCCTTCTTTCTCCATTGCAGCTCCTGGACTTTTAAACTCTGCCACTAGATGGGGCCAGAGTGCCATCAACATGTTCTCAGTCGCCTTCTTTTACAGAGGAGATAATTTCTTTTCAGTATAACTTCAGTTTCATATGTGCCCAAATACGAGGCTTCAATAAAGTAATCATTAGTGTTTATTTGAATTTTATGATTATCTAAAAGTAGACGAACAGCAATGTGGTCCACATTCCCCCCCCACCACCGCCACTTTCACCAATAAGGGCCACCTGTGCTCCTCTGCAACAACAGGTGCTTCCAGCATGCTCTGTGGCTCCCTTCATCAAAGCCTCCAGGAGCAGTTGGAAGCAATTAGAGTAATAAGGGGAGCAGCCAGTCCCTTAGATGATGACAAGTACCAGGAAAAAAAGGAGTACCCCCTCCGGCCACTTTGAAGTTCCCTTTTGCTGTCCTGCGATGTTTGGTTAGAGGTGGGGGGGAAGGGCAAAGGGGATCACTGGCACAGGGGGAAAGTTGAATGGGAGTGTGTGTGCACATATGTGTGCATCTGCTAGCCAAACATGACCAGAGACCACACGCATAGATATTCTGTTTGAAAGGAAACATAACAAAACACATTGGAGCACGGTCCAAGAGGAGTAGGGTATAATTCTGAAGGTAAATAAACACAAGAGGCGAGTAGTAGAGGTGCTTTCTCTACTTTCATCACAGCAGAAGCGGTGGGGGCAGCGGGGGGGTGCAAAGCCAGGCCTACAAGGGAGAAGGTAATGTGGGGTTTCCCGACCCAAGTGGCTCTGGTTTTCCACCGGCACTGTGTTTGTCCACAGTGTCTTCACTGTGAGTCAGCATAGCTGCATTAGACATCCCACTATTTCTGTGTGCGGCTCTTAATGTGACTCGCATACAGCTGGAAGCAACTTGAGCAACGGTCATGAATTCGGGCTCAAATAGGTGCTCAAGGACACGGCACCTGGAATTTGACCCAGCACCTTTTTTAGTAATGCCCAGGCTGGATTAATGTTTCCCAGGGGTGACTTCCAAAGCAGGCTGTCAGGAGATTAGTTGAGGGATGTTTAATCATGCCACATTGAATACTGCGGCAGATTTCTTGTTTAGTGAATTATTTGGTGGGTTAATAATTGATCTGTAGTAGTAGCATCTCATGCCTGATCATCCTCTCTTATTTAGCAGATATTAAAGTAAGTTAAATTAGTGTAATGCATCATTGCCTGTTATGAATGTAAGCAGCAGATTACAAAATGTTGCACTCACTTGCCATAAATATAGCCTTTGTATATTTTTATTACTCTGAAATTGTTCCAGAAATGAATTCTTGTGCATGAAATAAAACATTTACATAATCATAGATCTCCTTTTGTATATTTTTATTTTTCTCCGTGAGTTGTTCGATGACTCTTCATTGGCAGAGCACAGCACTGTTGGATGACTTTTCTCATTCATCTTAAGGGGACAAATTATATGTGAGGGCAGCATTATTATACATACGAAAGCAGTTAGGACAAGAATGGGGAGGGGCGTTCGTGAGGGTAATGAGTTAAAGCTTTTCTTGATCATACATTAAAGGCAGGGAGTGTCGACAGCCAGTCCAGACGCTTTGGAGAAGCTCCGGAGTGAGAAGCCTTTCCCAGGAGACGGAGGCCAGTCTGTCTCCAGCTCTCTGGCTGGTCTTTGGACAGTTTTGCACGTGGGATCAGATCCTCACATCTGCCTAATCCTAGCTGTTCAATTTAAAGTCAATTTAGCCGAAACTAACTTTATCTGCCAAAATAATTCCTAATCTGTTTGCTGTGTGTCAGGCTGAATTTAATGTAGGAACAATGCCATTTTTTAAATAACACAAATTCAACCTTTGAGCAAAATCCCATCTTCACAATTCAATAAAACTACATAGCTGCACACCACAGAGGTATACGTAATCATTTAAGGTTGAGCTGTCTGCTTTACTCCAAAAAATCTTTGAGGATAAATTAGGAATATGTTTGATTCCTGTCCTAAACCCTCCCCTGACTCTTTTCTGTGTTGTTAAAGAATGGCAAAGCTTCTCTCACATTTCCAACTTTCTGTCATCTCAAAGCTTGTCTAAAGCAAGTCATCACCAACACCCTTTTTTCTGACTGTGCAGTAACAGCCACTCATCTGCCAAACCATGAAAGCCACACCGAAGTGTCAGACTTAGACGGATCATGAAATGCTTTTTCCATTAATATGGGCATAAAAACATTAATGACACCATAGATGACATTTCCATTAGTAATGACACCAGTCTGCTCTTCTTAACATAACCTTTCTCAGGGTGGTTAAACGTTTTGTTCACCGTGTGAAGAAAATCAATGCAATTACGCAAATGTGTTGTCTTTTTGGAACTCTGCGCAGACATCAGACATCAGAGGACATCTGCCTGAAGTGTTACTTGTCCTCATCACTTCAGCTGCACATTTGAAAGTAGTTACGAATAAATATGTGATGCCATGCATCTGTTCTCGAATGTATGGGCTCGCATGAATGCTGTGCTCCGTCTGGGGCTGTGATGCATTAGTGCTCAGGAGACAAGAGGCCCTTGTGGCCCCCTTATGGGCATGGAACTGTCTAAACATGGAGGAATGCCGGAGGGGACACAGAGTGAGAGCATTCCTCTTAGATGCCCCATGTGCAACTCACACACATGAACAGTCGCTAACCTTTATGGTTCTGCCCAAAAAAACAAAACCGGAGCAGATGTTGAGTGCGCATGCGTTTTGCAGGAAGTTTGCGTGTGTGGAGAGAATGCAAACACGGAGACGGCATCTTGGCTGAATGTACACACTGCTGTGACATATGGCTTTCTGGGAGGCCCCAGGCCTCTATAAGGGACGGGGGGGCCCTTAGGCAAAGCCATGTCAAAGAGCCACAAGGCCCATACCGGGGAGTGATTAGAACATACCTGGCAGTTGGAGCCACTTGAGCGCTCTACTGGGATCATTTCTAAATGGTTGTGGCGCTTGGCTGTTAGTCTGAGGCTGGAGATGGTCTGCCGCTGTGCTCGGTGTATTGGCCGGAGCTCTGCTAGCCACAGGGGGCGGAAAGGATTCTTCCGGGAACCAGTGAGGTGGATGATAAGGTCATGGACCTTGGCACGCAGCTGAAGAGGGAACTGGGAGCAAGAGAGATGTACAATTAGGCCTGCAGCTGGGTTATTTCTGGAGCACTGTACTACTACCTTAACTGCATTACCCTCAAACCCCCTCTGCTCTCCCTTTCTACCTCCCCTTTTTGTGTGGTGGCCCACATAATCAGGGATAGGCTGTAAAAAAAAAAACAACAAAAGGTAATCCCCTTACATAACTCTGTCGAAACTCACTGAAACAAGACCATTTGATACATATTTTGGCCATCTAAAAATAAGAGATTTAGTTCGGCCCAGGTGACGTCAAAGGGTGTGCGGGCGGTGGAATTCAGCCGAGCGCTCTATTTTTAGGCCCCATCGAAAGCAGGGATATGAAAACACTTCCAATATCTGTCAGTCATGCTTAAAGAAGCTGTGAACTTGAAGGTCAGGCATTAGGAATGATGAAAAGGCCGATGTTTGATGATATTTAAAAAGAAGCCAAGTAATGACCCAAATCTCTTTAGCTTGCGGCAGGTGGCACAGTGTGAGGTTGGCCTTAGTGAGACTTGTTAAAGGACTTCACAGAAAGGCATGTGAAGCCATCGTTGATGGGCTAATATTTGCTGCAATGGTGCCCTGTGCGTATTGGACAAAACTGGGAAACAGGGCTAATGATTACTTGACTTTATTGCTAGTTCTATTCAAATAAGAATTCAAACGGGCCCATCAGGCGGATTTCTGAATTTATAGGATCAGCATGCTGTTGGTCCTCAACAATCTCAAGCCTCTGTGAAACCAGTGTAAACAAGAGTGGGAATTACGTCAAACAAGTCTGTCTTAAGTTTCCTCCACTCTTTCAGAGGCCGGTGTGGTAAATGCCTGTCCTCACAGTCATCTGAGGCACCGGAATTCTAAATAAGCCCCTGTGAGTCAACAGCTTTCATGTACACGTGGGCTCATGTGGGATTGCCGGAGAGGTCAGGATGTAAGGGTTATAGGTCATTACACAGTGTTAGTCCTCGTCTTTAACAGCTTCCTCTCTGCTCTGTTGTGCGAACCTGAGCCGCATCCCTTGTGATGCAGTTCAAAGCGAAGGGATTGCCTCACCCTCCGGTACAGGACTGGGACCCAGCTCCTCTAGATCCTTCGTTACTGAGGCAATGCCGTGCCAGATACAGCAGATCAAGGCTATTTTATATCTTCAAAACCTGATCCAGTGGCTGATTAGCATGTCCCTCTATATTATATATTATGTGTTATAGATGGACAAACCCCGACCCGAAACTCATGTGACTTCATGGTTTGCTTTTGAACATTTATATGGTTCTTATATTAATCTACAATTTCAAAATATAAAAAAACAAAAAAAGTGGCAAAGCTCCAACTCTCTGAGCTTGAAAGTGCACCTGTTGTGGCGCATATGTAGCTTTTTATTGAGGGGAGGATGAAACTCTAGAGTCAATCCGTAACACAGCGGGGTATTACTACTGCAAAGTGTCTTTTTCTCTTAAAGAGCGAGAGTAATACAAGATGCGTTTTGGGCTGCTTTTGTTTCCTTGGCATAAAATTGGGCGACCAAGAGAGGTGATTTACTGTCAGCTGTCTTAATATCAGACTGGAAATAAACCAGAGCTGCTGGAAAGATGTTGGCCCGGAGAGGAGAAGAACAGAGTTAATGCACTGTTTCACATTTGCACAACTGGACTTTGGATGATGGATGGGTATGACTGTAGGGGACAGCTGGCTCCGAGATGTCTGCAAATCTCATGCTTTAGTTTTTTAAAAATCAGGCTACCAACAGAAGTGACCTCTGACCTTTGGAGGCAGGTACATGACCCCAATCTTTCCCGGAATTGTTCGACATTTGTCTGACGGAGTGGAGAGGCCAATGCTCATTTCCAGACAGAGGACGCAGACCCTCTCCAAAAACAGCAAAGGAGCAGATCCACTCCCGACGAGCTGTAATTTAAAAAGCGCTTCTCCTGGAAAAACAACAATAAATTTGAAAGGGCTTCAAAGGCGCCGCTGGTGCTCTTGCTTCTCCGTGCATAACACAAAGCACCGGCACGCAAAAAAAAACCCACTCAATTGCTCAGGCCACGATGAACACACATCCAACAACAAACTGAGAGCGTTACAGGCTCCTTTGAATTCCACTTACTGTGCAGAGGCTTTTATGGTGTCTGACTGTTGCCTAAACTGTTTATCGCCTTTTCCGTTCCCTCTTCCCCATTTCAGTTTTCAGTCATCCTCAATTTGGTGACATTTGTCAACACAAAAGAGCCCCTGTTTGTCACCAAATCAGCTTCAAAATCCTAACTAACCAGCATGGGTTAAGACTAAACCTCCATCAAAAATTAAGCCACAGCCCCCTGCTGCTGGATTTCTTTGTGGAGCTGTTGTACTGTTGCAAACAGAAGAGCCTCAGTGGAAGGGCAATATCCTGCATCCTGATTCTGTCAGGAGACACGGCCACGATGTGTCTGAGTGCCCAAAGAGAAAAGACCAGGTGTCCCCTGGTGTTCTTCCATTCCCCTCCATCCAGCGCTGATCTCACTAACTAACAGCACCGGGGAGATGCTTTCTCTGGCACAGGAACCTGAACCACTGAGCTGTAGAGCTGCATGGAAATGAGCTCTTAGTTGACTCTCAATTTCCGAGGAACTCGGATCAAAAGAAGGAAAGTGGTGATTAAGGGCCAGTGTTACAACAGGATGCAAGACGGTCATCAGTGCTTATAAAAGGTACTCATCAAACCAAGAAACGGTCCAAGACACACCTAGCATCCCATTATGTTTATTAACATTAAAAATGCTAAAACGCATAATGGTGACATTTATGTTTAGATATCATTTTTGTCATTATGCATGACATGAGCTCCTGGTTTTCAGAGATTCAAATATTCAATAATAAGGTCTTAAATACTGGCCCCTTCACATGGAATCCCATAAAATACATGAATGGGTAAGAGAGACAGACTGACATGAAATTTAAGATGATTTTATTTCCACCAACAGTTAAATTGTCTAAAAGTGAGTGAATTTTAAACAACTGTTAGATTCTTGCCAACCAGTTATTGAAAATTCAGCCAAAGAGCAGAGAGTTTGATTTAGAAATACGTCTGTAAAATAAATGTGTCTGAAAAGCCCTCATAAATCTACCACAGGACATGGTAGCCATTGATGTCAGGGCCCATGAGTTTATTATCAGTTTTCTGCCCAAAGTTAACCTGCACGGGACTGAGTCCAT